TGATCAGTTTGCGCAAATGGAAGCCAATTATGCATCCCGAAATAAGGAGGCTGTATTTATGACGCTGTTGTGATAACCCCCTTTTTCCTGGAAGAGTTTTATGAGGCTATATATGATGTATGTTCAACCAACACTTGTCTTACAACTGACAAATGTTTTTTTTTCACCTAACCATATAAAAGATTTTTTTTTTGAAATTGCCGTCATTTGTTGACAATAATTGCCATGCTTATGATAGTGGTTATCGTACGCCTTGGTATTGAACATCTATTGCATGTTGCAAAAGCTTCCTTCCCTAGAGTACAGCTAGAACATCCCGACTGCACTGTTGTTGTGCATTAGAGTTCAATTATACCTAATTGCTCAAGAGTTTTGGGCAGCCGTATCTGTACTTTTAACAATTTCATGGCGTTTCGGCCGGATGGTAAAAAGCCTATCATTGATACAGGCCAGTTTAGACTCGTCCTCTGTTTGTTCAAACGTGACTATTTTCATTTTATGGGCCGTTTGCAATCAAATATTGTGGCGATTTAACTAGGTTCGACACAATTTCTAACCATAGGGACCAAATCTTATCCCTTCGTTGTCCCGCCCATAATTAAGTTGCAAGTCAGAGATTCTGCCTTAAGAATTTATGTGTCTGATTTTAATTTAGTCAGGTGTGGCATAATTATACCAGCTTTACATATTAGTTAGGTCTACGGTTACTACTTAACAGTACGCGAACGGTCGTTTTGCGTTCTTCCTAGTGGGCAGAGAGACTTATAAATGTAACTCCACCGCTTCTGAACAAATGACTAGAATGCTAACAAGCAAAGGAATCTGAGTCGAGTTAAGTCTCCGGGTAGCGGAGGATCTGAAAGAAAAGCACCACATTAGACGGGCGATATCGACGGAAAATTGCGTGCACTTAACTTCAGGCGCCATTGCAATTGATTATAGTTGAAAAAGATCTTTTTGGACGTTTTGATATTTCTTTTCTACGTTAAGTGTGCATATATGGATTGGCTCCACAAAAATTTGTACACGTTTGATGGAAAAGTGCAACGTTTTTATCATTTGCATTTCGTTTTCCAGAGAAAATGCAGTAATTGGATACTGTTACCGTTCAAAAACGTTTTAGCGATATATGCCAATTTTAGTTAGTCGATAAAAACAGGATTTAAATTTGACATTGAAATGTTGATATATAAAGAGATATCGAAGGTGTTTTCTATCGGTTGTTAATGCCTTAAGCATTTTAACGACGTAACCGATTTCACTTTCACATTTCAGAGAAGAAGGTCGTAGTAGGGAGGAAAGCAGAATTCCTCCCAGAGGCTGGGGAAAACAAGGCGTACGTACTACTCAGCTACATTTTCCCTTGCGAGGGGACCATCCTAAGCTGGGAGTATTTCCGTAGAGACAGTGTCATAACTCCTTATGCCTGCGTATGGCGCCGCGTAGCGGAGAACGGACCGCACTGTTACATGCTGGTCGGCTACACGGAGCTCCCACCTAGTGACTCAGTGGACGGCCATCAAGTCGTCCCCATAGATCCCTCAGAGAGAATTCAAGTAAAACCAGGAGATATCCTCGGGATCTTCCATTCTGTATACAACATCCACGGTGCTGTTGCCACGGCGAAGAAAGACCAGGGCGTGGATGAGGATTTGCACTCGACCATCCTTGCAGATGTTTACGAGGAGGACATTGACATAGGTGACGTTGTGGACTTTCAGGAGAAAAACATGACGTGTGAAAAACGATCATTTTCGATACGGGCCCATGTGCAGCCCAGTTGAAGTGTCGCTGCTTTCGTCTGACTTTAACTGCTTAATGACGGTGCTTGCGATAGTTGGGGCTCTTAACGGCATTGATTGTGGTAGTTGGGATCCCAGCAAATCACAATGCGCTCTGTGTCTTCCAACAAAAAAAGATTTCAGTGCGGTTAGCGGGTGCAGGGCACCCTGACGCTTAATACGTACTCTAGGTAATGTTTTAGTGAATCTTGATTTTGAAGAAACGAAACCTTAGTTTATGGAGCCTTATACCACGAATAAGCGTTATTTTTGAAAAAAAATGGCTGGTGTGCTTTCACGTTCTTGGATGGAGGGAATATTTTTGTGCCTTGATTTATGCCTGTAGTTAGGTGCTTAAAGTAATGACTGGTCGTGGCATGTGGATGGTTGTTTTCTACATTATATGCAAATTTATTTAATTTTGTAACTGTGAATTCATATTATTAGATTATAATACTCATGTAAGAAAACTTAGTGTTAAAAAGATATTTTCCTACAATCTCGCTCTCTCGATCTCCCTTTTCTTCTTTTTCTCTCGTTCGAAACTTGCTCTGTAATCGCTATTATTGCATTCAACAATGATGCGATCCTGCCATTCAAATGTACAATGCTTCATCCGAAGGAATAAATCTAATTTTTGCGATTTGAAAACAATTTTCATTTTAAAAAAGAGCTACAAAATGTTGAGAAATGCAGGTAGTACTAACTCAATAGTTCCAATGGTGGTTCAGTATGATTTGCTGTTCAATAGACGTTTGCAGTTAGACAGAACTTTTTGAAAATAATCCTTGGATAAATTCTGCTGACTTTTGTTACTTGCCGCGCCGCAATCGTAAGTGTCACTAATATTTGACATAAATAACTAAACATGGCACTACTGTGCCTTTCTGGGATGAAAAATAATCAATGAACTTCGCGTACAAAGAATTAGATCTAAATGTCGTAAGGGTGGCCTGCGTTTGATGAATATTCATCAGTTCTGTTAGTTTCAAGCCAAAAGGTAAAACAGTTTACCACTTATCGTGTTATCGGTGTTGCATAGATGCTGAAAAAAGCCAAAAAAATGGAAAATGGAAAAATGGCCCGATCATGCTGATTTTCGAATTCGACCTGCGTATTATGAATATTCATCAGTTCTGTAAGTTTCAAGTCAAAAGGTAAAACGGTTTTCCACTTATCGTATTATCGCTGGTGAAAGTGCACGGCGATGACGGCGACGACAGACGCAGGTGACGGCAGATGTGTCTGTACATAAAAAGGTATAGTAATACATCAGAATATTTATTCACATTCCTCACCTTGAATTCAAGTTTACTGTAAGAAGAAAATATTATTTGAAAGAAAGAAACTTCAGCATCTACACGCATTAAACTGAAATTCACATGCAGTAATCAGATAGCGTGTTGTTCACACGCTACATTAGTGTTTCGTTCTGTTGCCAACCACCCTGAGCTTCAGAGCTAACTTGACACTAACCTTTTCACTGTAGCCTATCTCCATCGTGTCAGCTACAGTGAAAAGGTTAGTGTCAAGTTAGCTCTGAAGCTCAGGGTGGTTGCCGACGCACTCTGAAGCTATTCACCAAGTTCACCCTTGCCCTCTGATGCTTCTAATAGCTTCTAATATAGTATATAAAGTATGCCATGAAATAATTTTGTAACAGACTGCTAGCGCACCTTGTGGTCAGAGAGTAGTTCACGCTCTAGCTAAAGCCTCGGGCACAACCGGCCGTACTGGCTCTTACGGGCTGTTTGTGTACAAATTTTGCACAGAATCTCGCGTCACGCGCAAGTCCTTCTTACGAAATTTCGTAACTTGCTCCCCTCGCAAAGAGTACGCAAGTGAGACGTGCGTGGTCCAAGACGCACGACGCAAACAATGAAGGAGTAAGTGCCCTTTGTGTGTTGAGTACGGCGCACCCCCTCTCGGCTAACGAACAATGTCGAAAGCACACCGGTAATACGTCGCACGTGCATCACCCCCACGCCTGGATTATATAAGGCGTGCTCACGACGCACGCTCGTGTCTCGACAATGAACGTCGATTGTGCAACGTGTACAACAATTTTCAAATATTTTTAATTTTGCTCAATTCAGCTTCTCATATGCCTCCAAAAGGCAAGAGAAAGAAGCTTAAAAACAAAAAGAAGGGAGGGGAAAAAGAAAGAAGTGAAGAAGTGAGTAAAACCATAGAAGTAGACCAAGGACGTATATTGAAAAACATCTAAACGCGACAACGTGCCCATAGCAAGCAATTTTAAAGGGTGGGTGGGGGGGGGGGGAATCTTTTTTAACTTTTGAAAAAATAAGCCCATCAAGCTGATTCTCGACCTCGGTACAGGTTTACCTTTGACTTCATTTTTGCATCCCCAACCGTGCGGCTATGAATCCCCTCTTTATGTACAGACAATGATAAGGTCACATTGAAAATGCTAAAATGTGAAAAACTGCATATTGCTTCCAGAAAAAAACGCAATCAGACTGATTTTCCAACTCAAGCTGTCAGTCCTATGAATCTTTTTCAGTAACTTTGAATGGTCATAATGGCGGCAGTGCTCAAAATAGGGGTTTCAATTTTGATGCAATATTACATAATGTTTAACAGCATAAAGACCATCAATTTTTAATAAAATAGAAGTATCATGAATAAACAGAAAATGTAACTACCAATGGTCTTCAAGCCTATGGAAGTTCAAAGTAACATCGTGAAAATGCAAGTATGTGGAAAATTCAAATTTCACAAAAATTCCAGAAAAATTAACATATCAGAAGCTGTTACATGGTTTTACTTTAATGGTCACTACATGGCAAAACTATGACTACATATAACTTCAAAATAGGGTTTTCTTCAATTTTGATGCAATATTACATAGCAGCATAATCACCACCAATCTTTAATTATGAACTGCAGGTAACATGAATATATAGAAAATGTGACTAGCAAAGTTCGTCATGCCCATGGAAATTCAAAGTCACACCTTTAAAATGCCAATATCTAAACAAGAGATACCTGTACTGATACAGCAGTTGGACCAAATGGGATAGGTGCTGCCAATTAAATATCAGAGCTGGGAAACATTGCACCTTTGTACCATTTAAAATTTGCCAGTGGTGCTAAAAAACTATTCTGTACAGCAAATGGGCATTTGTCTGCACTGCCATGTGTCCTTAGACAAAAAGACTTTATAGAATATACTATCACAACCAAAGAACACAAATACTGTCTAAAATACTATTTAATTCAATCTTCCAAGACACTGCTCTCTTACAATTCTATACTATTCCATATGTGCTCTTAAAAATTGAGTTGTTTACAATACAAATGCATCTGTGTAGCACTTTGCCTTTTGGAACAAAAATTGTTGCTTGATAAAACACTTGTTGAGACTTCTGCCTTTCAACATATAATGTTGAATGTTTAAACATATAATCGCTCCCATCCTTATTTTTTTTTTCATTTATAACCCGGGGATGTTTAGCATATATCAGATTCCTCTGACTGTTCTATCTCAAATCATATCTGCATATATATGTTATTATATATGTATATGTTATGTTCACTTTCTAGGTCTTCCTAGTCTTCCTTCAGCAGTTTGTTGAAAGTTCTGTGAATGTTTTAAGTCTGCAAATTTTGCTTTTTCACCACAATGGGCACCTTCCCAATAAAACTATTGCTCTATGTAGATTGATTTAACTCGGTGTGGAATCTCACTGAATGCACCCAGATTAACACGCCTACTCGTTTCCAACATTCTCGGAGGAGGCTGAATGTTTATCTGTTTCATCTGATTGCATTGAGCAAGAGTACCCCGGAGGTGAATGTATCTACATAGAATGAAAGTTTCACTGGTAACTCACCCTATAGGTACTGTAATGACATGTCTTTTAAATTTAGTCGCCATCCTTCTTTTTCTTCTTCTTCTTTTTCTTAGGAGTTTCATCAGTTTCCATAGCAGCTGAAACATCTGCCTCCCCAGGGCTTTCCATTTCAGCAATAGATCTCTTTTTCTTTTTCTTCTTCTCTTTTGGAGTTTCCTCAGTTTCCATGGCAACCGACTGATCATTAGTAACGGTTTCCTCTGTCTGCTTTTTCTTTTTCTTCTTTTTCTCAGACTGAGGCTCCTCAGCAACTGCGCTGTCATCTAGTTCCGTCGTGGTGTTTCCTGCTTCAGACAGTCGTTTCTTCTCCTTCTTTTCTTTCTTTTTCTTCTTCCTTTCTTTCTTCAGGGCCTTTGCCGAAGCCTCTTTTGCCTATGGAAGATGATCATTAAATAGGTTATCACAGAAGTAATGATTTTATGTAGAGAGAAAGCTTTCTGATTACATATAACTGTCAATCAATGTCCCTGTCTAGAACACAAGTCTGTTTACTGTTGGTAGCTGTAACTTTCCATTCCCATCTGGTGTCTGATGACCAGAAATAACTCTATCATAGACAGGGGGTACAGCTTCCCCGTTTACCACCAATAAAGAATTACATGAACATCATATGCCAGACTTGTTAAGCTTGTACAATTTTGAGTCTTGACCAGGAGCTTTAATTCTTTGGGAAATAATTTTAGTAAGAAGTAAAGAGGGGAACAAAAGGGAAGTATTATTTCACTATCATAACTGTTACATAGAAATTTAATTAAAGGCTTTGACAAACTATTCCAACAACAACGTGCAATATAAACAATAGCACTACTTCTTTATTCCGTTTGTTTTTACCACAAGATTAAGTTTACCTCTTCTATTGCCACTTTCATGACATCAATGTTCTTCTTGGGTGCATCTCCAGTTTCGTAGAATTTTAGTCTGTCTTCTACCTGCTCTCTTAAGTGATCACCAAACACTGATGTTGGAACCTCTGAAAAATAGACAAATAAACACAATTAATTTTCAATGAACAACCACTTTGTATTCTGCCCTTCTCTCTATTTTAAAGGGATAACAACTCTTCATTTAGGCCAAAAAATGAATTATCCTGAGGTAAACTACAATTTTCCCATACTTACCAATGGTTAATGAATCCATTTCTACATTCAAAGTTAGTCCCTGTTTTTTTTTCTAAAAAGGTTTTTTTTTTGTAATAATCTCTTAGGAGATTATTATAGAGTATAGCCATCTATGGAGGTCACATGGTCCGATGGCAAGCACAGATTTCATAAAAAATTGCTTTAACTGCCGTTTTTGTGGTAAAACAAAATATAATGTATTTCTATTAATTGTCTACAATGGTTTTACTGTGAAATATAGATCTCATACAATTTACAAAGTGTTGTTATCCCTTTAAACTATCATACAGATATGAAACTGATAAACCAGCTGCAGGTCTGGACATACCAGACCCTGTGGTGGGAGTGGCCTCAATTTACAAATGTTAAAACACTGGAGTTTAAATCTGCCACCTACACACCTGCAGTGGTAAAAACCTTGACAATTTTCCCTTGGTTATGAATATTGGATTAATACCCTCTCCAATGTCTTTTATTTGATAAATAATTACCATGAATTCGAAATAATTATGGAATGAAATTAAATGCACATTATCGCAAACTGAGAATTTAAAGGAAAAAATGTGATTTTGTGTAATAATAAAAAAGTAGAAAGAAATTGCTTGGGGCTGCCTAAAGTCAAAAACTTAAAAAAACGTGTTTGAGAACTCAACCTGCCACATACCAGAGAAGCAGTCTAGTCTGGATGCAATAGAGCACTTGTTGGCCAGGTATCTGGAGATCCTGCCTTTGTTCTTGGCCCCAGCTCGCCCAATGAATGTTGAATGGAATATCAAGCCATATTTAGGTGTGTTGCCTCTTGTTTTCAGGGCTCTGAGAAAAAGTAAAATGCTGGATATGAAACGTGAAAATTCCTCAACCTCAAAAGAGTCCAGAGTTGTACGACATGCAAGTCATAAGTGTTTAGCTGACTGTACATCATTCATCAAAAGAAAGATTTATCTTTCTGGTATTTCAGTGATTCTTATGTGTTAACGCCATGCTGGACAGATGGTTTTAATTCACAACCAAAAAATTACTGCTTAATTGTTACTTAGATGGTAACAAACTGGAAAGACATCTCTTTCTGGTAATGCAATGACTGAAACATAACAAAAAACTACTGACCAGATGGTTTCAATTAACAATCGAAAAAAAAAAAAAATTGACTGTGAAGTTAACAAATAAGATGTTACATACCTGAAGAGTGCTTTCTCGGCTCCCAGGATCTGTACAGTGGAGGCAGGGTACTTGGCCAGGCTGGTAAGACTGCCAGCGTGCGAGATGAGCCGAGCTCCAACCTAGTTGAAAAGAAACAGTAACTAAAAGCTTCACCAAAGCAATATTGGACCCTTTGCCTGTGAGAAATTGCTTTTGGCAAACAACTAAAAAACTTTGGCCAAAATTTAAATTTTTGAGTAAACAGATATCTAGATAAGTCAATATGCCAACGTGAGCCTAAACTTCAAACTTTCTGTTCTCTTAACTTCTTCGACTACTCTTTTCTATCTGTCATGATGTGCCTTACCTGCTCTCCAATGAGAGCTGCCAGGTTGGGGGCAACTGCGTGCATCTTGCTTTGCAGGTATTCAAACAAACTCTTCCTGTAGTCAGCCAGCGCTATGACACGGTCCGCAAATCTCTGTATGTTGATCAGGTCAATAGGGGAGATGTCCATTCCTGAAAGGTAATTACAAATTGTATATGACAAATAAACCAAGCTTTTCCAATTGTTCTAATGTAATTCTCTGATATATATATATATATATATATATATATATATATATATATATATATATATATATATATATATATATATATATATATATATATATATATATATATATATATATATATATCACCTGCAATCCATTCCATTAATCATTTAACAATGGTATGTAAGAGCTTAAATGCTACCAACCAAGCTATGAATCAATCAATTTAAAATGAATAAACAATGGCCTTGGAGAGTTTCCTAAATGTCCGATAACACTCACCCATTGAGGACTTGCTGGCATCTATTATGGCCTTTGCCTTGGCAGCATCCATAACAATCTCCTCTAGGCCCTCGACCATATCTTCTGTGAACTCCTTCCTGTTCTTGATGTACTTGGCCACACGGGCAAACATGTAGTTGTCATTCACAATCTTCACCAGCTCTGGGAAATGGTAGGAATACCATTCTCTGGAAATTATTAATGAATCAAAATTGAAGCAAAGTTAACTGTATGAAGAAACAGAGTGGCCAACTGATGCATGATCGCAGACAAAAAGACTTCATTGCCATATATTTGAAGTCAGTGCATTGTTTATCAATATGTTACCAAATCTTTAATTACAAGAAGCCAGTTCTGGTAAAAAAAACAGCATACTTTGCAAAAAGCAACACACTTTTAAAACAGACATTCATTAAAATATCTTTTCATTCTGCAACTCTCCAACAAAGACTTTTTTTAAAATCCAAAAACTAACCTTATTCTCATTGAAAATGTGTTGATATCTTTGTCCAGCTGATCCAGCAAGCAAATACTCTGTATAATCATGTTGTCCTGTCTGTTCACATTGAACTTCACTTTAGCTCTGGAGTAGCTATGGCCCAGACCAAGCTGGGCTTTCAGGGAGGAGGTGGCTGTCAGTCCTTTCACCATGTTGTGAAAGTGAACTCTGATGCCTGAACAATAAAACCATAATGACAACATAAGGTATTAAGATAAATGAAAGCAAAATGTTCTACTACGACATTACCGGCTTAACTTCCATGGTTAATCATCCATTAATTCATGATCCATCAATTCTGCTTTGAAAAACTTTAGTTTAAATGAAAGCTAATAATAACAGGTAACATGAAAAATAAAGAAAAAATATTTATGAATCTTTTAATATTAATTTAAAATTGCAATAACCACATTACATAAGGAGGTGACCTGAAAAAAACTACAAAGTGAAGCTACCTATTTTCACTACGTAAAATTTTTCTATGCAGAAATAAACCAGTTTGGAGTAAAAAAATGTTTTAATAATTTCTCTTAAAAATGCAAAAGTTAGGTCAATTATGTCATGCTTTTGTATGTCACCTGTACCCTCAACCTTCCTCCAGCTTCCCTCATCCTGCATCTTATCACAATCTCAGCCCCAAGTGGCCAACATATGGCCCTGTGAACAAAACTGTAATAAACTGCAGATTTATGAAGCTAAATGCCAGGCCCAGGAACCACAGAAAATTATAATATTATTAGTACAAATATCTTCATTCATGTTCACTATACCTCTAATAATTTCCGGCACTACCCCAGTGTGCTGGCAGCTGATGCCTAGCTGTTCTTGGATAGCTGCTCCTATCTTGGAATCCCCAACTCCCAGAATGCACTTCTCCTTCTTGCCAGGCTTTGGAAAGTTTGTCTCAAGGAATAGGTGTAAATCATCATGAAGTACGCCTGAAATGTGGAATACACAGAATATATATCTGACAACACCATTTTGAAGAGTACCTTCACCAATGATAAATTTTATCTATATAAAAGAAAAGAACATGTTTTGGACAATACTTGCATGATAAACAGGAAGACTTTGTTTGGCAATGCTTGCATCATTACAAAAATAAATTCACTCTGAAAGACTGCAATTAATATAATAGTAACTGCCAAAGCAAACACAGTTACCTACAAGTATGTTTTAATATACCTGGAACTTCAGGATGTAAAATTTTACATAAAAAATGGAAAAAAGTGCAAATGATGTGCTTGCACAACATACCTTCAGATATACTGTTTATGTTGTCCAAAGCGTTGTGTCCACTCTTGAATGGTGAGAATGCTACTAGTTTAACGATGGAATTGAAGCGACTGAGGTCTGTGACACTTTGTTCCACTTGGGGAATCATCATCCCCACCTCTTCAAACTCTGCCACTCTGAACAGTCCATACCCAGAGGCATGCTCAAAGAGCACATGGAGTGTTTGGGCCTAGAAATGAAATAATCAATTCTTGTGCAAATGCAGGGGATCTTTAAATCAGACATGAGCCTAGGTTTATAAAAAAAAGAAACTCTGAACATTTATCCTGGGACCCAACACCTAACCTTGACGAATCTTTAGAACCATCAGAATTGAATTAAAAAATGCGGAATTCCCCTTTTCCGCAGAAAAAGCTCATATGTCTGTTAAATTCTAAAATTCTGTTATGAATTATAAACAATGTTTGCAGTGTGTATAGGGGGATTCATGTGGCATGTATTTTCCTTTCCTATTCATATTCTCTGTGCTGATGCCCCTGAAACAATCACAACCCTATTTCAAAATTATACACAACCCCAGAACAAAATACTGTAAGTAATTTTGTAGGCAGTTCTTCAAATCTTTCATACCACCTACATATACAGGAGCCAATCTGGTAGCTTTTTAAGTTGACTGTGCATAAAATCTATTCAGAAAAGATGTGTTGATCAAATAATTTCGTATTGAATCCCCCCCCCCCCCCACAACAATAAACATCCCGTGTTTGTTGTCCACCTTTCAACTGAATACAGTGAAATCGTGCAGTACTGCAGTAGATCGCAAAAACTCTTGATTCTCAAAAATAAAATTTACAAGCGGCATCATAGAAATGCAGTGTACTATTACTGAGATCCAGATGTATGATCATGTGAACAGGTTTTTAATTTTTGGCTTCGGCAAAGGACAACGCACATGCTCGACCTTCAGATGTAAATTTGGACCTAATCAAAAGGCATAGATCACAAGATGAATAAAACAGGAGTATCATCACACTTTACACAAACCACCCATTCTAACTAGCAGTATCTTTAATTCGTCAACTTCTTGAACATAAATTTGAGTATGCGTTATCTACTGAGCTGCACGTGGACCACACTTACCACCATCTTGTCTGGCCACTACAGTGGATAAAGTAAAAGTAGGAATGATCAATTTACAAAGGCCAACTCTTCAAAACAAATAAAAACATTTGTTATTATTAATAATCTAATAAACAAAATGGTAAAAATTATCATAGCATTAAATGGTTTACACAACCTAAATGTCTTAAAATATCGATTAAAATTTTATTGACTGTAGTGATTTTGAAAATCTCGTATAAGACATCTCCTTGCATTGGACAATACCTATGCTCACGTGACTTTTGTTGTGGAATAGTCCAATCAAAAATGGCTTCACACGATACGTATGAATAGCCAAACTTCGGGAAAACAAGGCGGTAAGCATGGCATGTAAACTTTAGCGTGTTGGTTCTTGTGAACAAACCCAACCAGTTATTTATTTTAACTAAACTTTGAATAGGTATTGTAAGACACAGTAATTAACAGCCATATGTTTTTTGTCAAATAATGCCTAACGCCCAGATCTAAGCTGCGTAATGATAATTAAGTGTGCCCTCAATGTGAATGGCGTGGATGGTTGCAATGTAAATGTAACACAGAACTATTAATAGTAGTGTAGATTCACACTACTCTTAGCATTGCTAATAATTGATTTTGTGCTTGTAATGTATAATATAATCATGGTAATTTTTTTATTCTTTCGTTGTTATGTCTGACTACTTTCCATCTTTGTGCAGCTTGAATGGTATTAGGACAAACGCTACAAGTATGTATCGTTTGTCCCATAGGCTGGTATAAGATGTACTGGATACAAAACATGTACTAGTAGCAGTGTGAAGGGAATGCTTGCTCTGTACATGACTCTGTCTATGCTTAACTTATTGATTTATCTCAGGTTGTCAAAATTTCAGGGCCACAACAAAATGAAGTGAACTAGACTTTCTATTAGGATGGCAGGGGGTACAAGAGGTAAAATAACACTGTAATCTGAGTACAGGATATGAAAGTTTTGGCAGATGTAGATAAAGATACTGGTATAATAACGCAACATAAGAAATTCATTTGAATTATTTTATGAATTTCTTTTGCATAAATATGATTAAAGCTTTAATGAGAATTTTTTTGAAAATTATTAAATACCATATAAGTTAACAAGATCTTCCCATATTTGTAAAAAAGTAACTATCACATTATGGTCTCCATTATTATTTGCCATTGATTTATTTATAACACGTACATTTTCTTTTGCTTTTCAGCTTCTGATAAGAATGCTCAGTTGGTCCATCTGAATGAGTTGAATCCTTTTCTGACTTGTGGTATATGCAAAGGATACCTCATTGATGCTACAACTATAACTGAGTGCTTGCATTCTTGTAAGTATGTCACTTAAATGAATGTCTCCATATATGCTTTCTTCCATTTAACAGCCTCTAAGTTATTTTGAAATCTTCCTGGTTTCTGGTTTCTAAGTTAAAGTTTTTACTTTAAAAAGACTTATTTATTATGCAAACGTTGAAAGCATTTACTTACAAAAGTCATGTATGATTGGCCCAATATTGGGCTGTATTCAGAAATAACCTTTCCTCAATGTCATTCTTATAACTGCATCTTCTATTTCAGTTTGCAAGTCATGTATTGTGCGCCATGGTCAGTTCTATCTAAACTGCCCCACATGTAATCTCCAGATTCACCCCACTCTCCCCCTGTTACACTGCAAGTTAGTACATGGTTTAAAAATATTAGACAACATGTTAAGTTTATAATACAGTTTGAAAATGGTGTATAACCTTTGCTTACTTATAAATAAATTTAATTGATTTTTGATAGAGCAGTAATAAATAATTTATTTCATTAGCAAGGGTCTTTGATATACAGAGAATTAATATAGTGTGACTCCTGTTCTTTTATTTCAGACTGGACAGTCAGAAACAGGACATTGTTTTCAAATTACTCCCAAACATTTATAAAAGTAAGTTTTGCAGTTTACTTTCAAACTGTAACCTGTAGTGGTCCCAGATTTTGTTGATGTTCATTAAAAAAGAGTTTAAAAGCGAAGGACAGAAACAAAATTGCCAAGTGTTCAGTCTCAGACAGAGCTTCTGAGGACTTTAGTAAATGTACATATGATAATAGAAGTAGGTAGATATCAAGAAAAATTTACTTGTTTCGCGTATTGAATATCATGTTAGAATGAAGTGTTTTAGTAGAGGAATTTACTGTTCTTTACAGATGAACAGAAAAGGAGAAAATTATTTTGGAAAGAATACCAGAATAAAACGGGAGGTGAGGCATTACACGATATGGAGAATGGTTTTTGGTTTTCCACAGAATTTTTGTCATGTGCATTCATTTCCTCATTTGATCATGCAGCCATACTGTGTTTTATAAAACTGTTATCAAAATTAAGGTGGTAATCATCTTGTTCACCTGTTATATGTTGTATAGAACTTAAATTAAAATACTGTTCATTCCTTTTCTATCTTTAAGAAAAACCTGTGCAAGTGCCTATGCTGGGTAAAAGTCCCAGAAAGAAGAAAAAAGTGCTCATTCAGCCTGACCCACTAGCGTCTGTAGTTCTGGAATATGTAGGGTGAGATATTACTCAAGGTTCATGCTGTGTCAGTGACTCTTTTCAGTTTTGCCTTTACCTACAGACTGTTTTTTATTCTTTGCACACATTGACTTTTAATAAATGTTTTATGGTTAAATTATTGGAAGTTAAATCTAACATATGCCTTTTTTGACCAACAAAGTTAATTATTTTCAGCATTTGTTAAAGTTTCGACTTAGGTTAAAATTGAAATATTTTACAAAGTCCACCTTCGGTAGACTGTGTATAAATATTTTTCCATTTAGATTTAGTATTCAAATTAACATAAAGAATATCATTTTTTTCAACATCCATATATATTCTGTTGTATGTTGTTGTAGTGCATCAGAAGGTTTGGAAAATTATGACTTTGAGGTAAGTTATCCATATTTGAGTGAAAATTTAAAAAATACCCAAAATGAATCTTTTCCTTTATTAATTCATTCGTTAGTTATCTTGTTAAGGTCTTTTAATTGGAGATTATTTAGATTTTAGTCAAGTCAGATTGTGTTGAAATCCGTCAATGACCATATCATGAAATTTTGTTATTTCTTAACAGCCAGTTGTGAAGAACTACATAAGAGTTGAGGCCAAGGCAACTATTGAGAATCTTCAAAATTTTATTCACAAGACCATGAATTTGGACAAAACATTTGAGGTGGGTATCTCTCTTTTTTCTTCATCTCTCTTTAGTACAGATGGTTCATCTGGTTCTTCCATGTTGCGTGTAACATTTACTTTCTTTTCCGGGTGTTATAAATCAACTTTTCTATTGTGTATTAAACTGATAATTTCATTTTTATGGACTCAGTATTAAGTAAATGTTTTTTAACAGAAAATAAAAAATGTTGATAATTTTTATACCTGCTGAATTTAAATTTTCAGGTGAACATATTTTGTGATGCTTCCATAGTAGACAAGAGTTCCACACTGCAGTATATCAGAGAACAATTTTATGATGGAGAGGTGAGGACTGATTATTAGTTTCATTTTTCATGTTGGTTTATAGCATTTATTTTTTAATTAATTATCCACAATGACAGTGAGATAGTTAAAATAGAGTTAATGTTTTAACTTAACAAATAAAGAATATTAAAAGCAAATAATAATTAATGAATAATAAGGGATACTAAATTATATATAGAAATGTCATCCAGTCTGCCTCAATTCATCTAATATTAGAATATAAGCCGTCCTGTTGTATTTTAGGACTGTATAATGCTGCTGCAGTATGGAGTTATTGATCCAAGGGATTATTCTGATGACAGCGATGTGGAAGACCAGTGGGAAAATGAAGAGGACATGGTGTACACACCATCTGGTCTAAGGTATCATGATGAGGCCATGGAGGAGTTCTCTTCAGACATCACAGAAGAGATGAATAGCATACAGGAAATGAATGACTTGTCACTGACTGGTGTGGTGTAAATATACATATGTATATTGGAGCAATGGACTAGGAAATCAGCAATGGCAGATTCATGAGGTGGGAGGCATAGTGGGCCATGTTACCCCTACTGCTTTAGCTTTAGAGATACATCCTTCTCTCTTCTGTAACTAATTAAACAAGACAAAGGCAAGCAGTATTTCATCCCTGTGCCCTACTTTTTGTAGATTTTTCTTATGTTTAATTCAGAAAAAAGTTCTGGTTTTGTTTGGCAGAAGAAAAAAGGAAATATTTCATATATGTGTGCATGCACACCTCCACCACCAACACCCTTACTGAAATCCTGGGTTTGTAAGTGACAGTTGAGCATTTTTAAAAGTCTACCTTTGATGGCTTTGTACATATTGAAAAAAAGAGAAGGTTATGAACTTGACTTATTTTATATGTATGGAAATTATTGTGTATATTATGTGTTTATTAATGTCAAGATATGTTTTTAATTAATGGGAATTGGAGTATTTTTGTATGTGATGGAATTCTTTGTCACTCTTGAAGCAATGGCTTCAGTGTTTCTGATTAATATATGTTTTGAAGTATAAAGCACTTTTTATAAAGCCCCCTGTTATGTTCTAATAAAACTATTCTAGAACTGAATTATTTGAAAGGTTCTTACAGCAGTTCTTATTACAATGTATACATATCTGTAAACCTAATAGATAATTATGTACGTTTTGTGCATATTTTAACCAATAAATTTATTTTCTTAAAAGGTACTTATTATATTTTTCATGTTTTTGTACATTTGAATTCATATTCATTCAAACAGAAAATTACCATTCGTAATGTGTACGAGTATTTACTGAATTATTGGTTGACGGTAACTGTGGTCCATATATAAAAACGCTGGGCATTCAAACAACCCCTTATTGACTCATCTGATGGGAAAAGTTTTGTGGAATCGGGTATACTCGAGTTTTTATCCACCAAAGTATTTCACAAAACACTGCCTAAACCCGACTTTGGTTCGGGCGAAAACGGATGCCGGGGAAGGGGGGGGGGGGGGGTAAGCTCCTTAGAACCTACCTTTTTCAAGCATGTAGGCCTACTTTAAAAGTGCAGGAGGCAGAGGGACTTTGAAGCCACTTTACAAAGCCAGAGGTAAACATAGATAAGTCCTTTAAATATTTCGTCAAGGGCCGATATCCCAATGAACCGACCTAAAATGCGGTTTCTGCACTTATCGACCCCTACACAATTCGTCGTTTAAAATTTGTTTCACGTGCGGCAAAATTTGCACGGACAGACAGCATAACGAATGGAAGCCCCTTTATATACTTTAACGTCTATATAGGATTAAAACTCCCAGTTTCTGTACCACCTTAAATTCGCGACTGGTGGGGGAAAACAAGCACAGACCATGGGCCACGTGCAGTCTTCAATTGCGACTGCTGCACTGTACGGGATTGTGTTTGTTGGGTTTCATACTCTGTTGTACGATAGATGGCATCATCGTCAGTCGCGCTGAAGATCCTTTTCCGTTTCTGGCCTTTCTTGTCTCCTGTGGGACGATTGTTGATATTTTAGTAATTCATTTTTCTCGTTTAAAAAGAGAAGATATCTAATATGATCTTACGTCTTCTCAACCTAGTACACAGCCGAGAACTGCAGAAAAAGTGACCCAGGAAGGGATTTTGACTTTGGCGGGTCCTTCGAAAAATTCCCCTGACCTGATTCATGCTCGGACAGCCTGAGTGATCACTTTCTTTTTGCAGAACCAAAGAATGCAAGTGGATATATACAGCAATTAATGAGATAGTAATGGCGACGAACAACTCACAAACGGCATCACCTTCTTCTACTGGATGTGAGAGCCCAGTTGAAGAAAACATTAGTTGGCCTGAAGATGATGACCGACTCAACGTGTTGTATTCTCCTTTTCGAGAAAGGGAAGTGAATCCGAAGTCTTGGGACTCCAAACTGAAATTCTGGTCCAACGTTCTTCTTCAAGATTTTAGAAACGCTGGAGAGTTGACATTTGACACAAAAACTTTGCCACACAGGTTTAAGAGAAAACAGAAAATTCCCTCGTGTTTGGGGACCGTTTTGCAAGAACTTTTAAGGTTGGAAAATGTGAAATCGATTGAAATTAGACTAACTAAATAAGACCGAATAATCAGCCTTCATAGCAAACCTGTGATCTGTATCACTAGCCATATATGTGACATCTTTGAAGGTCTTCTAAGGCCTGTTGCTGATCAGTACTAGTACATTTGCTATTATTAGTACTTGATATTATTAGTTATTTAGACATCTTCTAGTGACAATAACTATCTCGGCTGAAGTACTCAGTATCTGAGATTTATGCCACTGCATTCAATAAACTCACAGTATGGAATATTACATAAAACTGAAATTGCCATTCTTGGTTTTTCAAAAATTAAATAATATATATTTTTTAAGTTTGTCAACTTCTAACTGATTTGATTCAAAATTTATATTTCAACAAAGCAAATTATTTGGCAAAAGCAAATTTTTGTATTCTGTATATTATCCAGACAAGGCAAGATAGTATCCGTAACAGAGTTCGAGGCAAGCTGTCAGCAAGTTGGCTGGATTTCCTGGGGTGTCAACTATTTAGTCAAGAAGCCAATATGGTGGACTGTAGGCACTGTTACAGGGACCAACAACCTGGTCAAAGATGGAGAATATATTTTGGTAGATTTGCTCAAGGTACTGCAACGTCAAAGTCCATTCATCTTTTTTTAATTTGAAAAGATAAAGCCTATACAAGACCAATGTATAGTACTTATCTTGAAAAAAATTAAAATGAATTTACGTGAAGAGGCAAAGTGTTATTTGAGATTATATAAAGTATTTAGTTCAATGTTGCTAGATTAACTTCTTGGCTAAAGAGACATTTTCTTTACTGTAATGTGTGTGCCATCTATTTTGGTAATTGAATGCCTTAATTATGTCCCAACTGAACATAGAAAATAGCTAGCATGTAATTTTAATTTTGTTTAAAAACAAGTATAATGAATGCGCAATAGATTAATAATTATGAAAGATAAGATGAAATATTGCATATTACCTCTTGTTCTTCCTTGTCATAATTTGCCAAAAATTTGCTTACAGGAATTGTGTGATAAAACCATAGATAAAGTACAAGAAAGAGCCCAGCACAAAGCAACAGATTATTTGTTAGAATGGGCAGAGTTAAAAACCCTCTGTGAAGACATATGTAAAGATGACAAGTCTCTTAATCTGGTTTTGCTGCAGTTAGTTAAGGACAAGAAGGCACAGTTCATGGAGCCTACCAGTAAACAAAAGGTAAGCATGTTGCACATATTGAGGTCCCTTGTTTTGTACCCTCTTTATGCAGTACATGTACATTTATGTTGATATTTTTGATGAATGAGATGTTAAAACTTTTTAAATATTATTTTAGTGCAAACTTGATTGGTTTCATATGTAAAATCTGTTGTTGCTATTGTTTTTATTTTATATTAATGAGTGCTATTATTACACAATTATTTTCAAAAGAGAGTTATAAATCAACTCTTATTTTGGTGTAGAAAAAAATTGTTCCAGAAAAATCAAGGATGTTATTTAAGTTTTAATATTTGTAGTTAATCAAGTTTATACAGAAAGGTGGTAGATCTGCCTCACCTGTGTCTGAAATTGACCTGGGTGTTTTAAGGTATTTGCTCTTCTTATTTCTTTATATACTTCCTGTAATGCTGATGATTTCTAGGAAGTGTTTCAAACACAGTAAAGCTTTCTTTTAAGTCATTTCAATTAGAAGATCTTTAAAGTTGCTGCCTTTAAAGTTGCTGTTTAAAATCTGCATGTGTCTCTGTCCAGTTGGATGCAAATTTGTGAAAGGAAGCAGAAAAAAAATAACCATGTGGCGTTTGTCAAATGAGCAATTTTCGCCTATAGACTCTTTAAGTGCAAACCTTATGCTTCTTTTTATGTAATTTAGTTCCATGGCTCATTTAAGACTTGATGAGTTAGTGTACATGTAAGTTAATACTGCCTTTTACAGGTTAAGAGAGAGTGAAGCCCATCTTAAGGGAGAAGTTGAAAGGGTGGCTGAAGATGTGAAGAGGTGAGACATTTCCTAATGTCAGAGGAGGATCCAGAGGAGGGAGGGTTGATCCTCATTATTATTATTATTATTATTATTATTTGTTTACAAGGCTGTTTAAACCTGTATTTTCATCTGCTGTCACACTTAAGTCTAAGCCTTTTCCACAAAAAGTGGTCTAGTGTTTGAGTATTTATATTATGTTATTGTATTCTTAATATGACTTTGCTCATGATAATTATCTGTATAAGATACATTTTCTTTGTAGATGTGTGCGGGATGCCAAATATTACCTAAGTAAAGGATTAAAGAACTCTGTAAGTAAAGTACTGGGTGCGTTGACATGCACATTTATACATGTGCACATGGATACATAAAATGTTAAAGTATATAATACTAGTGAATATAATTTGTGATATCCTGAGGTCCATTTTGACAAACATGTGTAGGTCATATGCTTATCTTTATAAAAAATGACATTTGAGTCATAACACTGCCTAATATTTATGAGCCTTTTTTCCCTGAAGTTGGACAAATACAGTAGACTCCTAACTGTTCACTTTGTTTGTTTTTTTTATTATTATTGCTGATCTTGAACAGATCTTATGGAACAGATTTCTTTCTCTGATTTTGGCTGAAATTCATATGGACACTTCCTAACTCTAATTTTTGCTTCACTCAAACAGATTTGCTTGTCCCACATATGTAGTGTTCTGCATTAAACTGGATGCTTTTTAATACCATAGGCCAAGAATTCACTAAGGAGGAAAAAAGCCATAGAGGCATCTTTAACAAAAAAGGAAAATGCTCTGGAAACTGTGCAGGCCTTGCTGCAAAAAATACAGGATGCCGAGTCGGACAAAATGGTGAGAATTATACATAAGCTTGTTGATTACTTGATTGATTTGCGTTTTTTGTTATGAAAGTTTCAAAAGACCGTTCATGACAGGGAGGTATATGTTTGTGAAAGAATGATGATAATTAAACTGGTCGGTGCTGACAAAAGCCCACTCATTCATTGTTTTGTAGCCTGATTTACTCCTGGAGACTGCAAACATGTACAGAAATTGTTGGTGGTAATAATGACAATGATTAAAACACCCGTGTTGCACGCATTCTAGAAAACAAGTTTTCTTAGGTTTACACAATTAGTTTATTAAATGCCTCACTTTCTCTAACATTTCACTTTTTCAAGATTTATCTCTTCAGACAAAGAAGTTCATGTTGTTCAAATTGATTAAATGATAACCACAGATATTTCACCTACTATGGAAGTAACATAATGCATTGGCATCAGTTACATGTTTAATTTAACTTTTTGTGCTGTAGATTGTTGAAGCTTATGAAGCTGGAATGTCAGCATTGAAAGTGAAGAGAGACAAAGATGGGCTCACCATTGGCAGGGTAGACGATATCATGGATCTGCTACAGGAGGTATGTTTTTCATTAAAAACACATGCAAGTAATTANATCGGTTTCATATGTAAAATCTCTTGTTGCTATTGTTTTTATTTTATATTAATGAGTGCAATTATTACACAATTATTTTCAAAAGAGAGTTATAAATCAACTCTTATTTTGGTGTAGAAAAATTTGTTCCAGAAAAATCAAGGATGTTATTTAAGTTTTAATATTTGTAGTTAATCAAGTTTATACAGAAAGGTGGTAGATCTGCCTCACCTGTGTCTGAAATTGACCTGGGTGTTTTAAGGTATTTGCTCTTCTTATTTCTTTATATATACTTCCTGTAATGCTGATGATTTCTAGGAAGTGTTTCAAACACAGTAAAGCTTTCTTTTAAGTCATTTCAATTAGAAGATCTTTAAAGTTGCTGCCTTTAAAGTTGCTGTTTAAAATCTGCATGTGTCTCTGTCCAGTTGGATGCAAATTTGTGAAAGGAAGCAGAAAAAAAATAACCATGTGGCGTTTGTCAAATGAGCAATTTTCGCCTACAGACTCTTTAAGTCCAAACTTTATGCTTCTTTTTATGTAATTTAGTTCCATGGCTCATTTAAGACTTGATATAAGAGTAAGTGTACATGTAAGTTAATACTGCCTTTTACAGGTTAAGAGAGAGTGAAGCCCATCTTAAGGGAGAAGTTGAAAGAGTGGCTGAAGATGTGAAGAGGTGAGAATTTTCTTAATGTCAGAGGAGGATCCAGAGGAGGGAGGGTTGATCCTCATCCTCATCCTCATTATTATTATTATTATTATTATTTGTTTACAAGGCTGTTTAAACCTGTATTTTCATCTGCTGTCACACTTAAAGTCTAAGCCTTTTCCACAAAAAGCGGTCTTGTGTTTGAGTATTTATATTATATTATTGTATTCTTAATATGACTTTATTCATGATAATTATCTGTAAGATATATTTTCTTTGTAGATGTGTGCGGGATGCCAAATATTACCTAAGTAAAGGATTAAAGAACTCTGTAAGTAAAGTTTTGGGTATGCTGACATGCACATTTATACATGTGCACACGGATACATAAAATGTTAAAGTATATAATACTAGTGAATATAATTTGTGATATCCTGAGGTCCATTTTGACAAACGTGTAGGTCATATGCTTGTCTTTATAAAAAATGACATTTGAGTCATAACACTGCCTAATATTTACGAGCCTTTTTTCCCTGAAGTTGGACAAATACAGTAGACTCCTAACTGTTCACTTTTTTTTTTTTTTTTATTATTGCTGATCTTGAACAGATCTTATGAAACAGATTTCTTTCTCTGATTTTGGCTGAAATTCATATGGACACTTCCTAACTCTAATTTTTGCTTCCCTCAAACAGACTTGCTTGTCCCACAGTTGCATATGTAGTGTTCTGCATTAAACTGGATGCTTTTTAATACCATAGGCCAAGAATTCACTAAGGAGGAAAAAAGCCATAGAGGCATCTTTAACAAAAAAGGAAAATGCTCTGGAAACTGTGCAGGCCTTGCTGCAAAAAATACAGGATGCCGAGTCGGACAAAATGGTGAGAATTATACATAAGCTTGTTGATTATTTGATTGATTTGCGTTTTTTGTTATGAAAGTTTCAAAAGACCGTTCATGACAGGGAGGTATATGTTTGTGAAAGAATGATGATAATTAAACTGGTCGGTGCTGACAAAAGCCCACTCATTCATTGTTTTGTAGCCTGATTTACTCCTGGAGACTGCAAACATGTACAGAAATTGTTGGTGATAATAATGACAATTATTAAAACACCTGTGTTTCACGCATTCTAGAAAACAAGTTTTCTTAGGTTTACACAGTTAGTTTATTAAATGCCTCACTTTCTCTAACATTTCACTTTTTCAAGATTTATCTCTTCAGACAAAGAAGTTCATGTTGTTCAAATTGATTAAATGATAACCACAGATATTTCACCCACTATGGAAGTAACATAATGCATTGGCATCAGTTACATGTTTAATTTAACTTTTTGTGCTGTAGATTGTTGAAGCTTATGAAGCTGGCATGTCAGCTTTGAAAGTGAAGAGAGACAAAGATGGGCTCACCATTGGCAGGGTAGACGATATCATGGATCTGCTACAGGAGGTATGTTTTTCATTAAAAACACATGCAAGTAATTTTTTTTAATGAATTGCTCTTCATTGAAATGAATGTAATTATGCCAACATAATGTCTGTATGAGCATTCCACAATCTTCAAAGCACTTGAATCAAATTTAAAGGGGAAAGATATTATAAACGACATTTTATTTATGTTGAATTTTTCCAATAATTTCAGGAATACGAAAAAGATGCAGACATCAGTCTTGCCTTGGCCCAGGGCCCTGCTGATCCAAGCTTGGATATTAGTAGGAGTGAGTTAGAAGCTGAACTGGATGCCATATTGGCTGGGGAAGACAATGGCGGGGAAGATGCCCTGGCAACACAACTAGGAGGATTGAAATTGGAGCAAGGTCTGTCTGTCTTTTTTTTTTTTTCGTATTTCAAGTTTTAGACAGTTGTGAATCAATACTACATGTTTAATTTGAAAAGGGTATGAAGCAATAACACTGATAGGACTAATATGACAGATTGTTAGATTGGGTCATTGGGGCTAAAATTTTTCTTCTCATGCTTCAAAACGTGGGTGCACGTGTTTCTGACTTTTAGACCTGTTATTTTTTAAATTTGTCAGTTGTATGCAAAATTCAGCCCAACTTTATTAATTTAAAATGACAATAGTGTGAATTAATTTGGAAACGTGCATGTCTTCACTGTATTATGATGAATAACCAAGTAATGGTTTTACTTTTAGAATTTCCGCAAGTGCCGTCATTCGATCCCTCCTCATCCTCCGCAAGCTCGGTTCAAGAACTGGATTCTAATTTCACTCTTAAAGACAATAAAGACAAGGATGCCATCGTGGAGAAAGAACCTTTGTTGGCTTAATAAAAATCATAGGAAAGATTGAACACCTTTTTAACCGTCTTGCACAGTGTTCTTCATAAAAAAATGTGTATTAGTTATTTGAAGCATGTACTGCCCAGTCGATCATGTGTGTATTATAGCATAAACTTGGAAAAGTTTTCTGGTGCAGTATTTTCAAATTATGACAATAAGGTGACAATGTTTAAAAAGTTTTGTTATTAACGTTTTGCCGATAGACTACAAATACTACTAGTAATGGTGCTTTCTTTGTGTCAATGCTATTGTTCAGCTGGGATATGATATTGGAAGAAGAAATATGCAAAATTAAGAATTATGAATGAAGCCAACGAAAATTAAAGCATTTATGGCTTTGTGCAAAAGATCAATTTTATTTTGCTTTGCTACCCGTGCATCGGATTTATTGCCAGTACAAAATATGCAACTTTATGCGAACGGATTCCTCTTTGTATGGCCGACATAATGCAGCTTCACTGTCCGTTCAATGACTATTTTTTAATTTTGAAAGGAATTATGGATCCCAAACTTAAAAATGTTCATTTTTTCTTTCAGTCAAAGAAACATTCCATAAATGACCATGGATACTTCTTTCATCAGTAACCCGACTTTACTTCTTACTCTTGGTTATCACGTCGGCTGGAAGTCTACACCCACCGAATGTGTTGCAGACGAAACGCTTCCCCTTGTTTGACTTGTAGGTTGTGCCCCGGTCAAATCTGACACTTTGATATAAAAATTCACCAGGGCTTCCAACATCCGCCTCGAAATCGCTGTTAGCATTCAAACCCAGAAAGAAATTTTGACGACGTTTCTCCCAAATCGCCTTCAACAAGTAAAGTCTTTCGAACGCGCTTTGTCCAATTTTTTGAGTATTTTCGGTATTTTCTTTGGGTGTGCAATCTTCAAGCAGAGTACAGTCCAAGGCTTTCTGGTCCTGGGTGTAGTAGCCACTTTGAACAGGTTTCTCTTCTCTAATCAATGCACACAGCTGAAATTACATATGATCACCGACTTGAAATAACGGGATAATCGAAGAAGAAATATCAGAAGTAAGTCTGCTACAAGTTGATGTAATAAGATCGGTTCTCTGTATTTACATTTCCAACTGTTGGCAGATTCGTCGTCGACTTTACCCCCAACCCCCTTTATTTGCTGTAATATCAGTACTTTGTTATGAAAATGATCTCCCAAAAGTGACGCAAAATTTAAAGAAAGGCCACTGGGAATTGTACTTTTGTTAACTCACCGAAACTGGCACCCAAAGCAGCAGAATCGTCGTTTTTACCGTTCCAAAATTCATCATCACTGCTTCATATACTCACACCTGTAAGGGAATATGGAGACGCAAGGTGACTAAACAACTATATGTAATTGGAAATTAAATTTTACTGCTTTTAAGGTCAGCTGACAGTTGTATTCATATTTAGTTTCATATTATAAATGCTAATGGAATCTAAACAAAGTTATATAAAAGGTATTGCTGCTTTACACGTCTATGGGAATAATAATGAAATCTGTTTTAAGTTTTTTTCACTCCGTATGACGAGATGGCGTCCCCAGCTATAGAATTTTCCCAGACTTCCCATTACACAAACGTTTTGTTAGGATGTACATTGATTCCTCCCCGTAATTCTTTGAAAAACTTATAACTGGGGTTTATCATAATTGGGTTATCATCTCAGATTTTCCATTTTTGCTTGCAAAAATTTCGAGGAAATTAGATTGGTTTATCAGATCAGAGAATTTCGTTTATACGTCGAGTAGTGAAGTTGAAAAATACTTACTACGACAGGAAGTTAACCATCTCTTTAAGATTAAAATTATTATAGAATATTCAAATGCTTCAAATTAATATTCTGTTATTATTGTTGTTATTATTATTATTATCATTATTATTTGCGTGTTTTATGAAAAGTAAAGACCCAATTTATTTTCCTATTAATGATCTCTTGCAGATTTGAAAACCATACACTACTCTTCTTACACACACATTTTGGCAAAAAAATTGACTACTCAAATAATAAGAAATTGCTTATGGCATTTGCACAATTACCCGCCAGCCTCTTCAAACCGCAAAATCAATTAATCGCTTTCAACGCTATTAAGTAGATTGGTATCTACGATTTCTTTTTGTCATATGAAACTGGAAATAAATCGTATCTGATTACGCTTCGAGTTTCATGTGACAAAAATTAAATTTCTTTCAGAATTAGTCGAGTGTCAATCATTACTCTCTCAATATACAAGTGCATAGGGTCGTGTTATGACGTTAAAGACCACAGACGCATGAAAACTGACATTTGACATTTGTGAGATTGTTGTCAAAGTACTTTATTTATTATTTATGTAAAATTAGGAATTTTCGTAAATAAGAAAGTCACATTGAAAAGCGGAAAAGAGGTTAAAAAAGTGAATAAAAACAGATCATTTTTTGTGAAATTCTATAATACAGCCGTCGAAAAAAGAAAGCACAGCGTATATCTTTTAATAAACCTCTTTATTTAAATACCGTTTGGTGCTATAATAAGGGGTTGAATAAATCTTTGTTATCTTATGTTTAATGTCCAATAACTCTTTTACGAACGTCAATCCAAAATTCCGCAAATTAGATATTTGTTTCGAAGAAAGCATCCAGTCTTGTTTACAACAAAGCCCTGGCAGATTATCTTAAACTACGATTTCACTCATTCAAATAGAAAATAAAACGATCGATTTATAGTTATATCACGTAGTGATAAGCAAAAAACAAAGTTGTAAGCAAACATACCGCTGTCAGACTACTTGTCAGTCTCGGCCCAAAAGCACCAAATCAACTCTAAAGACCTGTCAAAGGGTGCGCTCACAATGAATATATCGTATACTGTACTGTACTAAGTCCACAGGGACTCTAGCTGAATGCAATCAGATCAACAGACTGACACGCCCCCTCTTGCGTCTAACGCACTCGTATAATCACCAGCATTTCTGTATTCTCCTCAACGCCAGGAGGAGCCGTGTTACTCTGATTGCATTCTGCGAGTCCCCGTGGAGTTAGTGCGCCCTTGCTAGTGCGATAGATTCACTGTGAACGCATCCAAAGATTGCTAGTTAATGACTTCTCCTTTCGGTATTACTTAAAGTAGCTTTTAATAAATTAATCAGGACTACATATCGCGTGTTACCCTCTACCAAGGCGACAGACTGATTTTACACAACATTTGGTTCTCTGTCTTTCTGAAAATTAGCCTATAATATCTGCCTCCCAGGTAGAGGGTAATTGCGTGTCATCACCGTTACTTACAGCCGATATTTCATACGCTCTGTCTCCCAGTGTCATAGACTAACTCTCTTTACGCATATTGGTCAGTTTATACATTTATTGTTTTACATTCTTTATTACTTATTACACAGGTTTTGGGTTTATAAAGTTATCATTTATCCAGGAGCTCAGTTTTTCTAATACAAGCCAATGTTTATACAGCTATTAGATAGCTGCTCAGAGAGAGTTCCTAGACAATCTACATATTCGAGACGTTCGGAGACACTACAACGCTTACTACATGTGTACTCAAGTTTTTTTTTTTTTTTTTTTTTTTTTTTTTTTATCTCAAGAAATAAAGCTGTTGGAGAACCAGAACACTTTTTTTTTGCCAGCGTGACAGTTATTTCAAACAAAATAAGCATCTATTCAGTGTTTAGAGAATTTCACATCCACACTTACCTTCAAACTGCTACCTTCCAGGCACTGTTGCAATAACGTTTGGTTCTCTATCGATGATACCGTGGCTTTTTAATACGGAGTTACATCAGCAGATTGAACTCTAATCTAAACTGTCACGAAGTGAACGTAAAGTGTAGGGTGACATCTTTGTGTTATCCTAAAGGAGAGCCGCCTCCTTCTGCAAGGATGCACGCATTTATGCAGCGCTGTGGTAGCTACCCTGGGAGTCAGGGCTTCCTCCGATTGCGCACGACTTTTCTGTCAATCTTTTTTCTATAATAATAATAATAATGATAATAATGTTGGCTCCCATACCCGACAAACGATCATGTTAAGTAAAACAGACATACCAAAATGTGTGTGTGTGTGTGTGTGTGTGTGTGTGTGAGAGAGAGAGAGAGAGAGAGAGAGAGAGAGAGAGAGAGAGAGAGAGAGAGAAGAAAGGGGGTAAACTTTCGAACCAACTCTCAGGGTGTCCCTCAAAGGCAAGAGATCTACTGTCATTTCCCATACTTTTGAACGCATAGAAGGCGTCTTCTCAGGCTTCTGTCCTTCTAATTAAATTAGGCCCACAACTGATCATAAAACGCCTTGTTACCTTACTAAAAGGCGAGAGCTTGTTACCAGCTCTAAGAAAAAGAGTTACATCCAATTTAAACGTCAGACTCATTTTATTACCTTACTTTAAGAGGAGAGCTTGTTACCTAGCTGCTCTAATGAAAAGAGTTACATCAGATTTATACGTCCAACTCATTTTCTCACAGCTGGCCTCGTTTCCTATTAAAGAATGATTTATTTCGCCGCTGCTGATGATTAACAAATGTTTCTGAACATCTTTCACATTCACTGCTACGTGCCGTTTGAACGTTTCCGTGACGGCGCACATTCTAATAGCAGAAAAACAAACAATAAAAGAAACTGGTATAGATTATTTATCAAGTAATATAATAAATAACAGACCATTAGATAATCATGCCCTTTTATTACTGGGGCTTGCTACTTCTTTGTAATTTATACGGAAAACGTTTCATAAATTGTCTACAGCAACATTCATGATCAGAAATACACTGTTACTTAGTTTTAAGAAATATACAAGTTGCATTTTATTACAATAATTCATCAAATCCACACGATTTTTTCAGTAATCTCCAATATTATCGAGTTTGGGCGCTACCGGTATTACGTGATCTATGATTTCAGTCTTTGTCCTATAACAAAAAATAAATAAGTAAATAAATAAAAGACATACAGAACATAAACGCTTTTAATCATTATTAACAACATATTGGTTTTCTTAACAATTTGCCTCAGCTTATCCATGGTTAATAGGTACATGTAGAGTTCGTCCAAGATTCCTTTTCATTTTAACAATATAGGTATGGTCAACTGATTTCCTTTGTCCCAGACGTGCAAGGACTGTTCTTGTGGATTATAAGACAGCATATTGTTCAGTTTAAAAGGGTTTGTGAATGGAATGCTAATATTCAGCGGTTTGTTCTGGTATAAATCGTACGCATAGTTGATCTCGGTGTGTTGCACTTTTCCACTGGCAAGAAGGTATAGGACACCGCAGGTTATAAAGCCATTGCCATAACGCCTATGGTCCACTTTAATGTCCCACAGTTTCTGGATGGCGAGATGGGAAGGATTTAACTTGGCAACGTAGAGGACATCGTCCTTGCTTGCCGAGCCGTATATTGCCCATAGCCCATTTTCGTCCACCGCCAAGTCGAAGTAGTTATAGTCCGTGTCATATACGTATCCCTCATTCTTGTACTTGGCGTCTGGGAGAATCACCTCCGTGATGATTTTCTCTTTTGCAAGATCGTAGCGCATTATTTTCGGGTATCGCTCGGCGTGGTAGTAGAACGAGCCCTGGTAAATTACGTGACCGGTCCCAAAGTATCTATAACGAATTTGCAGACTGTATTTGTAGTCCCATTGGTTGCGTTTGTAAGCGTCAAAGCTGTGGTACTCGAACAGGTACCGCCCAGCCAAGTGGCGCGTGTACCAGAACCATTCTGACCTATTGTGGAACGATTCCCCGGTTTCTTTCATCCAGGCCCCCCAGTAGGCGCCCGTGTATCTCTGGAATACGGGTTTCCCGACCTTCTCGATGTAACATTCTACAATTATAAAGATAGGAAAAAGTAAACTGAACAGCAAAGTTAAAAAATACACAGACACTAAACGGGAAAGGTGTCACTTTCAGCGCTTCATTTTAAGGTAAACAGGCACATCCCAGGGGCATTTATGGGACATAATAAAATCAATAAGTTTTGTCAAATAAAACGCCGATCATGCCGATTTTGAAAGAATCCTGCATGTAGCTGCCTTTTTACCAAACAAAGCCACTAACCAAACTTGAAGTAAAAAATCAATAACATTTGTAAAAATAATCTGATCATGTTAATTTTCGACAGGAAAGTGACTTTTTATCAAAGCCACCCGCAAATTTGAAGTAAAACCAAAATACAGTTTGGCACTTATGAAGCGGAGGTTGCAGAAATACAACCTACATCAAGCTAATTTTTGGAAGGAACCTGCCTTTTTACCAAACAGAGCCGCCTAGTAACTTTAAAGTTTAAAATGTTCTTATTATAAATACGATATCTATACAAATGTGTTGTGTATATTGATTGTTTTTTTATTTATTTAATAAATAAAAGTGCTATGATACATAAAAAGTTAATCATTTAACAGCACATGAATCATATGAATACATATTCAATAAAAATAAACCTGGCAGATATAAAACAGATAAACAAATGAAACTGTAAACCGCTACTATGGCTTATTTACTAAAGTATAAGAGAGGCCTTACCGCCTTCTTGATATGTACCACCAGCAAGGATGATTGCAAAAAGAGAGAGCTTAAGTTGTAAAAGTTTTTAATTTTGGATAATGGTGGACATACTTGTAAAAAAGTTCCAATGTATAAACAAATAAAACAGCATGTAGGAAAACCAGAGTAAAGATGCACTGAGTTTAGAAAAAAAGCATGCAATCAAGTGACTACCCACCTTCAGTTCGTGGAGAGATCTGCATATCCTTCATGGAAAGCACTATCAACAACAACAAAAAAAAAGTATTTGGCTTGTTATTATTAAACATGCTGCCTAATCATGTCATAAACAGCTGCTTCTGCACATTTAAATATTCTTTTAATAGTTTTTATCTATTGGAAATATCAAAATAATGGACACCCAAATTTGTCAATATCAAAGTCAAAAGTTAAACTGTTTTTAGTAAACACAATTACATTGTCATTCATACTATAACATCATTATGAAAATCATTCCACATGAGAGTGTGCGTGTACAATCTAGTGCTTTTTTTTAATCATACCATGTCATGCACAAGGTTTCACAAATTACAACAAGTATGCTAAGAAAGCTCAGTGAGGCACATGAGGTTTACAATGTCTCAAATGCTAACTAATCTGCTAAAAGCCATGAATGAAAAAAGGAAAAAAGTGGAGGTATGCAGAGATGTTTTTCAGTTTATTGGCAAGTTGTATCACATTATCTCTGTTGGTGGAGGAGACAGAGGTTTTAAAGGGGGTTTGGCAGTAGAGTGTCATGGCATACAAGGATAGGTGAAAGGTCATGGAATTACATGATAAAGTAAGACAACACCATTGTTACTATTCTGGGTTATACTGCCTAAGTAGTAGTAAATTTAACCCACAACATATTTAAACCTCCTGTCCCCAATGACAAATAAATCACATATCAGGTACGTATACATTCTCCTCTTAAATACTGAAATTTACTTGATCACACTGGCACCATTTCCCCCAAAATAAATAAATAAATAAATAAATAAATAAATAAATAAATAATTGTTCAGCACTGCTTTTACACTAACCTCCAATATGCCAAAGTGCATATTTTAAATCCTTTTTAAAAACATATTTTGTCACTATAAAATAATGAATAAATGAGTGCTTTTGGAAATAATGCCTTAATCCTTTAAAACTCTTAACCTCTTAATAATTAATGTACAAAGTGTCAGGTCTTCGAGATTTGAATTTTTTTTAGTAAACACTATCACACTTTTATTCATACTACAATATCATTTTTTTTTACAAAAATCATGCCACATGACAGTGTGCATGTACAGGTATAACGTGGTGTCCATTTTTAGACACACAATGTCATGCAGAAGGCAACGGTTCATTAGGTTTCACAAATTACAACAATACATATTTAGAAGGTTCAATGATCGAGTTGTATAAGGTGCCAATAAAGACAGATCTAGAGCATATGACATTATATTTTATCTATGTTACCCTTTTCAATCACCCTTATGTGACTGCGCTTCTTCTGCTTTTTTATGCTGCTGTCATCCTGTTGCATTCTGTCTGGGAGACGCCACGGTACCTCAACTTCATGGTTCAAATTCAAGTTAATAGGAGGAATAATTTTGCAAGCACACTAAATACTATAGCTCTAGCAATGCATCATACATATTTTAATAGGGCTATCTATAAGGAAATGTTAATTTTAAAGCCAGCAATAGTTGCTGAAAGACTAAGCTAAATTCTACAGCTTGAACTGCTGTTATCTAATAGGTTACACATAGCAAAGGCATATTTAGATAAAACTATAATTAAGAAGCCATAGTGTTATTGGAAATAATTAATTTCAGCACTGTAGCAAATAACTGCAAGTGTCACACATACATAGGCTAACTGTTGTTTCTATACAATACTGTTACTGTACAGCTACGGCTACTGTAAGTAAATGAAAACATTAAAAACTGCACAATCACATAAATATCCTATTGGACAGACTACAGCGATGACTTACCTGGTCTAGGTGTAGACACTGGGGGGTACATCATGGAACGTCTGCCAGAGCCTGGTTTAAAGGAAAGCATTTTGGTATTGTAATATTTTGATTTCTTTAAAAAGAATTTACTTGTTCAAACAGTAGCAATAAGTTTTGTTTCATTGATGGAAAGTTCTTGCTGAATCATTTTTTTCTTCTTAAAAAATTAACAAATAAAACTGAGAGCGAAGTTTATGTCCTCATTTTAGAAATTTCCCTAAAACATCTGACAGAGAGGTAGAAAAATCATAATAATATACATGTATAATAAACATCTAATATACATACATATTTATACTTAGTATAAATATATATTATATATATTACTAGTATATTTACTGCCTACTATATGACTGACTGACAGAAAATCGTATCATTCTATTACTAGATATCTGCAATACAACTATCTTCTTGCATGCTAACCCAGGAAGGATTGTAAGATTTACCAGGTTCGCCCTTGTCTCCTTTAATACCAGGTGGTCCTGGTGGACCTTCTGGCCCATCCAACCCCTGGGGACCTGCTGGGCCTGGAATTGGTGAAGAGGAAACATTAAAACATTTATTACAATGGCAGATAGAAGCGGAAAACACTCGTTGAAATTGAAATTCTTATTACTTGAAAATCCTCATTACTGTATATTGTAAAGCAAAGATAAAACAGAAAGTAAATATGACAAATTGCTTTACTTTTTTTTTAATTTTAAAATATGATAAACAAAAAAAATCATTTATTTCAGTAAACATCAAATAAACAATAAAAAATCTTCATAAAGTATCAGGCATGGTAAATAATTATAAAAATACCAAAACTGGAAGAGATTTTTATGCATTCAGTTCTTCAATAACATGTTTTCCTTTTTGTTAATTAACAAAAAATATAAATTTCCTAAAATAAATAAAATATTGATTGTCAATTATATCTCCCATTGCTAAGCACTACAAAAACTGTCAATTGACTCTGTTCCAATTGTTATTGAATGGTGTTATTAAATAGTGATTGAAATGGAGACGGCAGGTGCTCCAGTGAAGGAGATATTGTAGAGACCCATTTTGCAATTTTCATCCATAAAAAGGAAATAATGATGTCATTAGTAAATTAAAAGTGACATGTGTAAAGAAATGCAAGTCAATTAACATTTAAGATTGATCACTCTCAAAATATGTGCATAAAAATTACTTTGGGTGGTTTTGACTACCATGCCTGATACCTTAAATTACTTGGTTATTACTATCTTAACATAATGATACAACTTTTTAATAACAATAACACTTTTCAGATAAAACTCACATTTATCTGAACATAAAGTTAATTAAACATGGTGCATAAAATAGCCAATAACTGTTGCCTCATATACTAGTATTATTATAATTTAAATTTGAAATATACTTGTGAGGTAAAAAAAATAGAAAACAGAATATTACACTGCCATCGCTGAAACCAAGCCAGTGCTCTTAACAAGAACTTAAATTAATAATAAATGTACAAACCAATATATTAAATATACAAAGAAACAGAAGTGGTCTGAAAATGTGTCTATAAATATATATATATATATATATATATATATATATATATGTAAGTGCATTCAGTGCAGGATTAAATATTTTTCTTCCTCTGCACCTTGCTCTCCTTTATAGCCTAAGAATCCTGTCAACCCTCGCAACCCTTTCTCCCCACGATCACCTTTCTCCCCCTTTTCACCTGCAAGGGTTAGTATACTTAATAGGATACAAACAACACACAAAAAGTCAAAACGTGTCTGGAACAATAACAATAATTATGGGTTATAGAAATGTCATTCTCAACTTCTCAGAAATGCAAGCCCTCTGAATATAAAGATTCCCCAAATGTGACAATATGGCTATTTGAGACATGCAGGCAAAGTCATGCAATAAAAAAAAGGAATGTTTCAGAGTTTATGTGCCAGCATTTTTGAAGTGACAGGATCAAATACATCCAGGCACTGCATTCAAAAATTCACCAAACACAATTAGCAGCAAATCTTCAGGAATGTTCACAAAAATCTCACCAAACACAATTGCAAATTTATCCTCACTGTTTGAAGGATGAAGAGAGCATGCACAAATGCTAATTGATCTGCAAGCAAGATTAAGGGTATCTATATAAATATTTTAAGGGCAATATACTGCTCATCAGGAGGTTAAAATGGTAAGAAAAATTAGACGTGCTAGTAAGAATACACTTTTCAAATCACTTTACAAGTATAAAACTGTTACTCTACAAATGTAACATGTCCAACAGCTGAATGGAAAGGTTTTGACATGCACATGATGATGACACTACTCAGGATATAAACACAATTGAAAATAATTTAAACAAACTGTCACTTACATAAAGTGCAGTTAGCACTTGCCCCATGCCTGCCCCTGGGTCCTCTTGCTCCAACCTCCCCTGGGGGGCCTGGGAGGCCCGGCTCTCCCTTAGCACCCTTTTCACCAGAGACTACTTTACCCTCTGGAATAAATTATTTATCTCAATACAACGGCAGTTTTACATTAATATCTATCAAATTAAACTGCATCTTACTTTTATTACTTAGTATTTGAAAAAAATTAAATGAAAAATCTTTATAAGTGAAAGCATGAGAAAATCATCATAAAGCTGAGTCAATTTTTTAAAGGATAATATCTTGGACAGCTAAAATGTGAAGTTTACACCTTTAAGGCAGCACCTCATTGCCATACTTACATGAACATATTCTTGTAGAAAACCAACCTTTGAAAAATGTTTAACAAAAATTATCAGAACAAAACGAATGCATGGTCTTTTAAATTAAGATTGTACTGCACTATCATATTCTAGAGAACATACCTGATACCAAACCAGAGTCCCCCTTCTCCCCCTTGGGGCCAGGCAAGCCATTCAGTCCTGGGGCACCTTGCTCTCCTGGTTTTCCTTGTCTGCCACGCCTACCTTGTGGACCTGTGGTGCCATTAAAACCTGTGACAAGCACACAAGAGAGTGAAGTCTTAATAACTTATAATACAGGTGATAGAGGTCCATGTTTATTTTGCAGTTTCAATGAGTATGTAGTGAGGGATTAATTAATTGTGACCTCATGAAGAAAGAGAAATATAAGTGGATATTTATTCTGGCTTGAATATAATTTTTTAAAAATTAATGTTTGTTTAAAGTTCTGAAATTTTTTTTTACAATACCTGGTGTCCCGGGAGGGCCAGGTGGTCCAACTGCACCATCAAGGCCAGGGGGTCCAGGGGGGCCTATATCTCCCTTGGGCCCTGGAGGACCTTCTGGACCTGGAAGGCCTTGAGCACCTGAAAACATGCCAAGTGTCTACTATTTTTTCACAATCATAATAATTTCATTCATCATTTGCAATTCTAATGAGCTAATTAACTTTCCAATTAAGTATAATTAAATACTCTAGCCTCTGAACTCCCTTAAGATGTTCTTTAACTACAGTAATTGTGTTCTGATCCCAGATTTTTAGTATAGATTGATAATTAAGTGCGGGGAAAGGCCAAGTTCAGTTGGAAACCATCCAAGACTCTTCCTGTACACAACAGGCTCTGTAAATCAAAATTACTTGCTTTTTTTTAACAGGCAAGGTTTAAACAATGGGGTTACCCAGCTATCTCAGGGATCACCACAAAAGATAACCTGGGGAGGGCACAGAAGCCTCGGAGGGTCCATGTAAATAAAACCAACCAATTAATACAGAGATCCATCATACTATTTCAGCAATTTTGTGTGTATCATTTATTTACCTGTACCTGTTGTCTAAATAACTTGGTTTACTGAGTCAATTATACAAGCAAAGGATGTAAAATAAAATGTTTGCAAGATTAAAATCTACCCAATATGTTTTAATTTTTGTAATGTCTGCTATAATTACTACTATGTGTAGTACTACATGTAGCAGCGCTTTTATCATATGCCCTTTCCTTGAAGCTAAAACTTTTAATTAATTTCCAATTACCACTGTAATGCCCACAAGACACACACTGACTGCTGCATGGAATGTACATATCAATTATTATAGCATAGGACCCTTAATATATACTAGTATATGTGAGTGTACATTATACATGCATATGTGTGTGCATGAGTGAATGTGCATGCATGTGTATTTAACTGATTTTGGGGAACTGATCAAGGCAGAAGAAGAGCAATATATAATTAATAGAATATTAATTTTTCTCCAATCCTATTTATCAGTAAAAACAGACTCTTTATTTACATTGGGCTACTTTTTAAAGATTTATTAAACAGCCAATAGAGGGCAACACCAGTCTCACCTGCCTGTCCTGGTGCCCCTGTAATACCATCTAAACCAGGTAAGCCCACCTGTCCTGGATCTCCCATCTCACCTGGGTCAAAGTTAGAGAGGTGTAGTAAATTTTTAATTTTAAAAATACTTGTTTTGTATCATACTGACATGCTGGAACCGGCTGTCATATTGGTAACTAATAATTAACCATTAAACAATTTGATTTAATGGATCATCAAATTTAAACATTTTAAAGTTAGCCCATTTGTGTCCTATCCTGAAAATTTCATCAAAACTCATCCATATCTTATTGAGCTAGACTGGTGACAAATAGACAAACTGAGATGAAAACAATGAAGGGAAAACTTAAGTACATGTAGCCTAAGCTTTGTACAGTTTTATACAGTCTTCTGTTGTAAATAGAAATCCATTTTTTGTTATGACATCATGAAAAATACCAGTAATAGTGACAATAATAAAATCCTCACTATTCCTCCCATGGGTGAAAGGCCTTGAAAAACAGCCTTAAATTTTATAACATTAAAAGGATGGCTAAAAAATGCAAATGGTTTTACTAACCCTTTGGTCCTGGGTCCCCAACAGGTCCAGGAAATCCATCCATCCCTGGTAACCCCATATCTCCCTTCTCTCCTTTCACAGTGACAGAGATTACTGGAATATACCAGCATTAAATCAGTTTCTTTTTTTTAAACTAATTCTGTACAATTTTTTTTACCAATAATATGGGCATAGTCTAAAATGCATTTTGAAATTCAAGTATTTGTTCATTAAAAATGATTAATTTTTTTTCATTTAATAATGACAAAAATTGAAGTATTAGTCTGATATATTCAGAACTGCTTAACTGGCTAGACTGGTAGAAAGTATATTTTATTACTGAACCAATCACTTTCCAAACTTATCTGTATGTATCCTGTATGAATAAAATTTCAAATCTTAAGACTGCATAGAAAGAATTACTTCCTTACCATCCCCTGTATCCCCCTTCATCCCTCTTTCCCCCTTTTCCCCTGGGGGTCCTGTCTTGCCTGGAATACCCACAGGACCTAAAACAGTAAGGAAAAGTAAGACAACCAATGATACAATGTATCAAATTACAATAGGGGTGCATTTGTGTGCATGCATATTCAAAAGGTATTACTTATTTCAATTTTGTATTCATCAATCCATTCAGTTGTTATAATTCATTTATGCATTCATTCCATTAAACAGATACTTATCCATTCATCATTAATGTACATATCAATACTTTAAAAATAATGTCAAGTAATTATAGATGAATAAATCATAAGCACTTGTAACATTATATTACCTGTCATCCTGTGATATTACTTTCACCATGTCATAAGTTTCATATACTATCAGTCTGGTCAGCATATGTTGCATTTTTATTGCATTTATTTTAGCTGCCTTAATGCTTTTTTATGTATATGTACATTAATGACAAACTGGTCGGTTTATTGATCTACACCCATTGTGTACGTATTACTGAAATTAGGATGGTCCATAAAGAAATGGGCCACATAAGGCTAAACGACTCTACTGAGAAGATATCATTTTACATCTGTGACTAACCTTCATCTCCCTTCTCTCCCTTCTCTCCTGGGGATCCTGGTTTTCCTGGAATTAAACATTTTATTTTAAAGGGAAGCTATTGGAGAACAAGACATAAAATAGGTTTTTTCTCAGGCAGCAGAATCAAACCCAACCGTTCTTGATGATGATGACAGGCTCAAAGTTCAAAGTCACACCTTGAGAATTCCAATGTGTGAAAAATGAAAACTTCTCAAAAAATTATGAAACTTCAGGAAAAATGGTCCAATGCAGCTGTTTTTTAAACTTGGCCTAATTTTTAGAACAATAAATCTATCCAATAAGTTTTAAGATAATTAGTCACACAGTTTTCCATTAATTGCATTATAGCAGTGAAAAGTGCACAGTGATGCCGATGCCGACAGCAGGTGATGGCTATATGTACAAATTCTCTTTGTCAGTACAAAAACTGATCTGTTATTCATTCAATCTGATAAATAATTCAATGATTAATGATTGGGATGAGAATGTATAGTGGTTTGGATATATCCACTGAGACCAAGAACAAGTATCAACAAGGGCAAGTTACAGACATTCTGAAATAACCCTCTATATAAGATACAGCACTGTATACATGAAAAGTGCATAACACATACCATTTTTTTAAATAATTTGAAGATACTGATATTTATAAGCTTGACTTAAATTGGCAGAAGTTGCACAATGTTTTATTATTTTCTTGGTTATGTGTACAAATGAGGAACAGATTATCATTACAGAAGGCAATAGAACCATCAAGCTCCATTCCTAATACCAATGGTTTCGATATTTCAGGAAATTTTCTCTAAATGGTATGCACAGGTGACACTTCAGAATTTTATTTACCCAAATAGCAAGAAAAAATCAACCAAATGTAAATATAAAGTGAAATCACTGATAATTGAAAAAAGGTTGTCTTTTTCTACATTTAATTAGTAATCGTAGCCATTGGAATAAAAAAAAAATTACCTAAAAATATCATAGGCTAAGATGTACTTATATGCAAGGTTTATTTGTGCACATAAATCTGACAGAGGATACTGCTACAACATATCCAATATAACAACAAACAGCATGTCACAGGGCCATTTCTCTTGTCATTAACACCAGAAAACACTGGGAAATATAGTGCATTCATTGTTACATGTAACAATGAGAAGAATATGAGAATTAAATTAGGATCCAGTAGTACCCCAACTGTCACTGTTGGCAAGATTGCACTGTGTGATTCGACCAATTTGAGACTAAAGATCTTGCTGCATTAGGCAATTTTTCATTTTTTGTTATTTCCAGTATTGATTTTACCTGAGTGTGCTTTCTGTAAACAATGGATGCTGACACTTTACAAATTACTGTAGGAGTTTTTTCATGTCTGCTTGTGGAAGACTCTTTGTTTTTTTAGACATGATATTTCAACTGTGTTGGTTTCTAATATTAGGAGAAGCTACCACTTGAACAGATACGTCAGTTTTTTCTGTTGATTTGAATTATACATCAACAGAGCAGTGGGTAGAATTGTGACTGGAGTCTGCAATGTACGTCATATTGCTAATGTCATTTATGTGCTTGCACATCAACTAGATGTGCTTCCAAAAAAATTACACAAAAAAATCCATTCAAAGCAAATTGAGCATAATTATTGAAAACTTTAAAATTTTGTGTTTAAGTACTATCATACATTAGATGGTTGGTCCCAATTAAGCCAATGCTAACTTAGCAAAGCCAGAAAAAATATGAATCTCACTACTCTGAATGCTTATAGCTGTGTTTTGTTAACATAACCTGTGACATAATCTGTCCTTGTCAGCTAAAGGAAATCACCAGAACATGAGTCAAATAATAAATTTAAACCTTACAATTTGCACTTTTTTTTTTTTTTTTTTTTTTGCAGAAAGAGATTCGCTTGGTTTAATGTGCAAATCAAATGCTGTTTTTTACAGGGATTGAATTAATATCACAAGTAACATTTATCAAAGCTTCAATTAAAAGCAAGCTAGTGAGATTACAGATAGGTTTAGATTGAATGGAAAGGGAAATTTAAAAAATCTTACACTTTTTCTGTTAATTAAACTTAGAACTTAGTGTGTGCAATATGCTATATATTTCTTCCTTGGACTGAACTAATAAATTCTACATTTGGTTTTGGCAGGGGGAAGGTAAAGACGTACTGGCCCCTTTCTAGGTTCACATCAATGACTTTACATGTAGATTAAAATGGGCTGAGCTATATACGCAACACAGTTATGTTCCAAATCTCTCTCTTCTCTGAATAACACATCCTGGAATCTCCCATGCCTAATGGTATCTCCCATGAATGTGTGAGATGGATTCAATAAAATGACACACAATTAAGACCAAATCTTCAATTGTTTTACACACATTAGTTTGTGCATTTGAATGAAACTTAAGTGCTCTTTCAGCTCGTTTACTCGACCAAATCAATGCCTACATCAAAAACATGCAGTGTTATATTTAGTTATACAAAAGCCAGTCTAATACTTTTAAATGTCACATACAGTATGTGCAGAAGTAAAGTCAATCATAGCTGAAAATAGCAGTCACTGGTTCCATATAAACAATATTATACACACTGGTACAGGTAGATCACAGATGGCCAGGTTTTATTTTTAAATTTATGGTTTTCACAATATTTTTCTAATGGGTATTTAAACTTCAGTCTTCAGAAAAAGCATTCAGTAACTTGGCATAAGCTGTTACTCATATTACATAAGGTGAAAAGGTGAAAACGGTCTCACATTAAAAAATATAATGTATGTACCTTTCATGAATTACTATTAGATTGAGTGGCTGACACAATTTAATCAAATGAGGTATTACATGAATAATTATTGTAAAGAAGAGAAAATATTTAAGGCCTGATTTATCACATTGACACTTGTGCTCTAGTGATTCATTTTCAAAATATTTCAAAATTAAGCATTTTCCTTACCTGGCTCTCCAGGAGGACAGAAATCTCTTGTAGACTTGCAAAAAGATTGGAGAGCTTGGAGCTGAAAAAAATCATTTTCATATTTATTCGATTTATTCATGAAGAAAAGTAATAAAAATTAGTAGGGAATCAATGAAATGAAATTCTACCTGCTCTAATTTTTATTTTCTTTTATATCACCTGCTCTATTTTTTTTTCTTTTATATCAAAGATCAAGTGGTACTTTGTCAGAAAAATGGCTCATCCAAAATTAGAACTTCTCCAATCAATAACAATGTCTTCACTTCCACTGTCAATTGAAAAGCACTAAGACACAGATTAATGCTTCCATTTTGCTCTAGGATTACAGTCCCCCAATGGTGAAATGCTCCATTAACTTCTTGCTTTTTCCAATAACTAGTCACTATTTCCAGGCTTTATTGGGGATTATCCCACAAAGTTTAGCTTGATTGATTATGGAATGATGCCTGGGAAAAGGGGGTACTCTGGAACTGTCACCAATTTCCTTAATTTGAATGGCGAGGAAACCTTCAGGTTGATCTCAACCATTCAAATCTCATGGAAAAAAGTGACACTAGCACTTACTTAATACATTTGGCTTGGGAGATTTAGTCTCCTCAAAATGAAAACTGTGGTTTAGCTTAATTGTTTATTCATGGTAAAAATACATACTGAACTTGTGATGTACTTTTGCATGCATATCTTCAACTGGCTAGAAATATTTCTGCCACAGAGCCAATATATCTAACTACATCAAACTTCTATATTTTGAAAATATATGCAAAATAAATAAAGGAATTCACGTGCAATAAAACACAGAAATTTAGATGCCTTAGATGAACTTTTTTTAAGATAAAGCAAATGAAAATATACATTGTCTAATATCTCTTCTGACTGGAGACTGAGTCAAGAAAGGTATAAGGGCAAGGTAACATAATCAGTCCATCTTTTATTTAGATAACAATAGAAAACCAATGTCACTGAGTGCAAGGCTATGTTCACTGAACTGATAAATTGCCAACCATCTTTTAAATTGACCACTATCATAACACTTCTGATGACAATCATTCACTCAGTATTAATTACCAAATCCATTTCAAAGTAAAAGAACTGACTTTATAAAAAAAAAAAAATGCACTGGCAAATGATTGCATGAACAGCTTATTCACTATTCATCTAATAATATTTTCACAGAAACTCCTCAGTTTTGAGTGAAGTAATACCCTCAGGGGCACCATACTTAATACAGAAAAATTGCCAAATCAATTGATGACCAGTTAGCCTGTGAGAAACCTGTATACTCACTTGATCAGTTCCTCACAATCAAGACCTGTCAGCATACAATCCATATTTCATGAAGAGGAACTGGAGAACCTTTTCAAATTAAAGCCATCTCTCGGGAAAACCATCTTAAGGCAGAGCAATGATAGAACACCGAGTATTCATTTCTTTCCTCAAGAGGTGTCTGCTCCGTCATTTGTGCCTTTGTATTTCAATGCTCAATCCATTTCAGTATTTCATTTCAATCTTGTTGGCATTTAAGAAATGTCTCAGAGTGGATGAGGACAATTTTTCACAAAAAAATGTGATCAGAGACTGTCTGAACTATCCATTATAAGGGAAGAGGGGACTTAACAGTATTTAAAATTTTATCAAAATAAATCAAGTTCTGTCTTTGTAACCAATTATAGTGGTTATATATGTTATAACTAAAATATTCTATTTTAATTTGTCATAAGAAATCTAAATTTGAGATTTTGCACAAAAGCATGTAGTGATGATAGGTCTGACTCACTGACAGATGATAAAGAATAACTAAGGAGTATAGGGACACAGACACTGATTCAGAGACAAATCTGGATGTGAAATGACTATATTGTGAAATAATGATTAACATGGTGAAAATGTTTGACATTGACTAAAAGTTATAAAGTAGTTATCAAAATTTTGTTCATAATGCGCCCCATCCCTTTTCATGCCATCAGTTTGCCACTAGTCATTTCCTTCATTTTTACCAAACACTTCTCATAAAAAAGATCTTACACTATTTCTTCTGCTTCTATAAAAAGATAATCAAGGACTAAGAAAGAATTTCAGTGATAATCATCTAAACATTAATGGTATACTGATACATGCATAATACTGTAAAATGTTTGACATGTCTGCCTTAATTTTATAAGTTTACATTTCTTGTCATACACATGTGAACTAAAAAGGAAAATTAACTAAAATTTTCCATTTTTCATTTAAATTTATTAAATCAACACATATGCAATAAATGTTCAATCTTGAAACCACATATTCAAATCACTAGTACGTACACTATGCTAAATCATATATTCCAACTTTCTCCAAGACTCTTATCTACAAAATAACAACACTACAATACCTTCCTGCTAAATCAGGTAAAAAGCTTCTGCATGTCTAACATATGGAATCGCTATTAAATTATATGTAATGAGAAGGTAAACAGTAATGGTATGGGGTTCTAACTTAAAGTCAATATGCATAAATCACCCCCCTCTCCCCATTACATCCCACTCTCAGTCTCTGGTATGTAATAAAGGTATTTGCTTCTCCTGTTACCACTGTAACCTACTTGTTTATCCACTGTTGCCTAATTGATGTGCTTTTCTAAAATCACCAATTATAAGTTGTCTGTAGGGCAAAATAGTATCCTCATATAACAGGCTCTCCCTGGAAAGAATTTATTTTTAATTTGGACAACCTATAATATAAATTAAATATTCTAAAAATCTTCATGACAACAGTGAAATGAAAATTACATTTCATGTTTGTATCAAATGATGTCCTGAATAAAATCATAAACTACTAGACAAATTTTTTCCACCTAGCCTAGATCTTTTATTTCAAAAACTCCAGGATGAAAAATTTACGCCATGCTGATATGAGTGCTATCAATTACAGTGAATTGCGCTCCAATTGGTTTAGATAACTTCAGACCTAGAGATGAATTCCCCAGTAACAGATGGTTTCTAGTATCTTAAAAATGCCCCTTCAATAGACCAATATTGTACATCACACATGTTACACACTCCTTCCTAGAGAGTTTGTTGAAACTAGTTTCTGTTACTAATCTTCCTTAAATGAATCAACTGTCTCTTCCCCATACTACCAATAATGCATTGCTTGTTGCCCTGGTTTTTATTACATTACTGGACTATGCAGAGACCACACAGAATGCAAGTACATCAGGTTTTTCATATTTCCTTTAGAATTCACCTCAGTGCCCTTAATTAATACTACACTTATATCTGTGAGATATACAGGTATGTTTTTTCATTGGTTCATTGTATTTTTTTTATTCCTGCTGTACTGTCTATGTACAAATTATGTTTTGCAATTAACCTTGTATTTGTTTTAAATCAGACACAGTTTGATCGCTGGTTCTGCAAGCTCCAATGACCTCAAGATAATCCCTATTGATCTTACACAAGCTTACAATCAACTACTTCAACAAGTATTGAGCCCTCTCAAATCCATCTCTAGTTTACCAATTTGCTGCCTTTTCACTCTTAATTCAAATCTGGCAGCTATTAGTCTGGAAACTTCAGCATTATCCACAGAGATGTTTACAAACAAGCCCATTACCAATATCCTACACCCCAGTAAGTGGTTCTGTCTATACTGAGTGAAATAGCTGATGAATGTTAGTAGATGCTGACACTTAGCCAAGGGCCACTGTTAAAGGCTGGGGCCCAGAGCACTAGTATTTCTGTCCCCACGGGATGTATTAGATACCATACAAATACCCAATTACTCTGCTTCAGTAGTATAGACACAGGGGCTTCATGCTATTTCCATCAGTAAGAAGCAATTAACAGTAGGGACTAAGTGTCAGTGCTTGGCAGTGCCTTAAACAGCGTAACATCAACCAACTGCACAGTTTGGTTCCTCAACGCTAAATATATGGCAAATACAGTTTCACCATTCATGTGACTCTTTCCTGACACTCACATTAAGGATCATTAAGTATATTAAGCTTCTCATTTGCGATGTACGATTTTCTTCTATGTAGACACTATACACCATTCTGTATGAGGTGGATTTAACTGTTAAATGAATTTAAAAGAAAAGCAAATGAACATTCAAGTTGTAAATGAAAAAAAGCTGGCGCGATTAAAGCAATAGCAGTTATACACTGTGTGTACTCACAGAAACTCTTGAATAAGACGATATCCATACGGCTTCATCTGGTCTGTCGGGTACCCCGTCACCACTGGCCGAGTCTACGAAGCGATCACCAGAGGCCCTCTTTACTCTCATAAGCTCTTCAGGTTCAGCGTGATTTTCCCACCGATCTTTTACCGATTGATGTATGTTCTCGAGGCCGTTGCTGGCAATGTTACTTTCGCTTTGGCTCTGCGCCCAAGAACCGTTTTCTCTCCATCTTGAACCTCCTTCGATTCCGGGCCTGACAGATGTGCAAAATTCCCTTACTGACAACAATTTGTTAAATACTATTGAAAACCCAACCACTGACGATAAAATTGTGACGAATAACAAAGAATACAACACTTTAACATGGAAAAGTAATTTCTCGTGTTTCTCGCAAACCGCCATTTTGACCAAACAGGAATCATGTGATCAAACTTTTCTGACCAATCAAAACTCCAAAGCAGTGTCACGCTTTCGATAGTGTTCAACGAATATGCGACAGACTTTAACAATCGTCGTCTTTTATTAGATCCGTGAGCTTAGAATTGTTCATATTGAATATTCATGCTTGATGTCGGAGAAATGCTCAGTTAAATGAAATCACCGGAAACAGCACCAGCTTTACATGTTCTTTCCATTTCTCATATTGATCATTTAGTGCTTTGATTCAATTTTTTTCTAAAAGATGCCTGTCTCTCATAATTGAAATTATTTGGTTAAATCTTATTTCCGGGTCTCTACTCAATGAAAGCTAAATGAGATATATCGTATAGCATTATTGCAAACGCAAATGCATATATCCGCAGCTGTCGGCTGAGCTGTCAATAGCGGGGTATACAAAGGGAGAGATACTGCAGTACTACATGCGCTAGTACAGAATACCATTTACTCGTTAGGCTACCAGTCATATAGGCCTACATATAAACTAGTGCAGGACTAGTCTATATGAATAGCAAAATGTTATTTCTTGCTTTGATTGGCATGTTTGAATGCTAAATAAGATTATAATATAAGATTAAGTTGAACTTTTGGAGTTTGCATTGGTTAGGCCTAGGCCTATCTGTGTGGTCCATGCAACTCAATTCTCTACTATCAACATTTCTCTGCGTAGAGAGGCGAGTTTTCAGTGTCCTCTGTAACTCATACTTGTCTGTTTTCGGTCCGCGCTCATTTCAGGTTGTAATATTAGGTAAAACAACTTCTCATTAAGAAATCAGCGGACAAGGGTTTACGTAGGAGAGCTAATTTGTAATTTTAATTGAAAGGATTGAGAGTTCAGAATTCGATGTTCCACCCTTCAAAATATGTGACTATTTCAATTGCTCGACTAGACCAGATTTTACTTTATTTGCGCGTATTGATCATTAGTTTTTGAGGCAATAAAAGCAATGATATATTGTAGGCATAACAGTAATATTAAATGTCGATAAAGTTATGCTCTAAAAATGATGCAAGGTCATTTATTATATTTAATACTACTTCTGCGAAACGTGTAACTTAAGAAATCAGCATGCCAAAACATTCATTCTTTATGTATACATACACTTAATATCTGCCAATTAAAATTAAAGAAAAAATAAAAAGCATCAAACATACACACGTACGCACACGCAAACACAACACACCGTGATGCAATATGTTTTACCCTAAATAATAATTCCTGACATATACAAAACACTGATGTAAAACGTTACGGATTTCATTGAAAAGCGCCATTGCATCTGATGCACAACTACAGCATTTCTCAATTTCAAAGTTCAAATTTCGCACCAAGCACAATACTAAGTGGTAGTATCATATGTTTTCCAGGAGAAATCGGATTTGGAGCCCTCCGAATTACCAGGCTCTGCCTCGTCCAGCAGAGCTGGGTAAGGGTAGTCCATAGTCAACAGCCGACGAAGGCAAGGAGAGGCACGCTTTAGAATGTCTGGATGAACCGAACGTTTTATATCCTCCATCGGGCGAATATATTTGGGCAGGTACTGCAGGAGGATCGCTGAACGGGAAGCTTTACTTTTATTAGGCATGGCAGCGTGTTGAATCAAACCTGGAAATAATACCACGTCGCCAGCTTTACCGATCACTTGCACGTATTTCTCGTAGAATTCCTTGCTGTCGGGATACACGCACCGGACTTGGGATCCGGGAACTACGCCAGTTGCCCCATTTTCTGCCGTGAAATCATCCAACAGGACAGTTGCCTGCATGTTCATGTGGAAAGGCACTTCTGGAACCTTTGGTGCCACAGGCCAGTGTTTTCTTTCAAAGTAGTCCCAATAGGGGTAATCTATATGGGGTTCCTGTCCCGAGGCTCCTGGAAACAACGTGTTTGCTGCGATACTCCCGAGCTGCATGTCATCTCCCAGAATGGGGTATAAGATGGAAACTACCTTCGGGTGCTGGGTCATTTTCTCGAATATTTTTCCTTTGTTGAGCAGATTCCACGTTCTGGCCTGCAGTTCCTGGGTCGAGTCTTCGCTCCCGTGGAAGTGAGTAGCGCGCTTGCCTTCATTTTTTATCAAATAGTGGATTACCTCTCTTGCATGCGCTATGTCTTCTTTCGAGAAAACCTGCCGCAGAACAAAGTATCCAAGTCCTTCGGTTAGTTCTTTGACTATCTCATCGGTGTCCGGCGTGTCCGTGTCCTGAAAGTTGCCCACGTCTACCGTGTAGGTTAAACGCGGGTCTGACGAACAGTTTACGAGGTATTTTTCAATACCGCTACGCGCCGTGGCTTCCTTTATCTTATCTTTCTCCGCCACGGTGTTTCCTTTGCACGTCGAATCTGGTAGCTCCTCCGCTGAAGAGTCATCCTCGCAAGATGCCTCCGTCTCAGTGTGTTCTAGTCCAGTGACGGTAAAGAAAAGGCAGGCAACCACAAATACCGTATACAATTGCATCATTTGGTTTCACTGTGTTAGATATCTGAAAACAAGGAAATCACATATAAAAGATGTTATTTTAATTAAAATCAGACATGAGCCAGAGTTTTGAAAAATCTCTGAATATTTATCTTTATTATATTTATATTATATTTATATCTTTATTATATATTATCTTTATTATATATTATATTATATATCTTTATATATCTTTATATATCTTTATTATATATTATATTATATTTAATTAAGCGGCTGGGGCATCCTTAGGTCCCATAAGATTATAAATCTTACAATTCCGTGATTCCATGGGGAAAAACTCGTGGTTCAAAATCTGAAGAACACTGGTGATCAGACGTCTGATAACAGGGAGATTTCGTTGAGAATATAACTTTTATCTTACCTGTTAAAAGAATAACATCTCATGATATTTGTTATTCACAGTATTAAAGTAAAAAACACAGTTGTCAGCAATATTCCATCGAGAAAACAATATTACCATCCCGAAGCTTAATTCTGTTGATGAAACCAGCTGACTGATATCTCTTTGATCTACTTTCCCAAATAAAAAGTATCAAAAGATTTCATAAAATTCACATCATGTCACATTATTTTATATCTAGTCAATCCATCCCAAGGGTGTTGAACTCCCAAAAGTTCTCAAGGGTGCTTATGCGCATTGACATTCAGTTCAAAGCACACTGCATGGTAGTGACACTGTATGGCGTGGTGGCGCCCCTATAAGTATGTCCCAAGCCCCCTAAGATGTCGCGCGCCTCTCGTGCCAACTGTCTCATGAGACTAAATAATATCTTAAGTTCATAGGTAATATTTCACTAAGACAGGTAAGGTATAACTGAATATAAATTGGACTGGTGGAGGGTAGATAAGGCACTTAGGACTTAAAAACGTAGGCAGCGGAAATAAGCTGTTTGGAAATCCCCCCCCCCCCCGGCATTTGTTGCTTAATTACTTCTTTTCGATTGGTGAATATAAAATCGAACCTTACAAATGAACACTTAATAACGATTCCGTATAATATATACGCCCCACTTTCATCTCCTTTCATTGCTACGCTAGACCAAAGCACAAGCCAAACACCTGTGTTATATTGTAAACATATATGACCTTATTATCCAACCACCCACCGAATCACAGATAGGCCTAGAGCTCAGGTTACGAGCTTACTTCATCTAATATGGTATCTCGGATTTCTTAAGATTAACCAGTATGCACTTTTAAGTGCATTAAGAATCAAAATTCAAAGCATGGTGTAGAAGCCCCCCCCCCCTCCCCCTCCCCAAACATGCTTGCTTACAGGGGATGCTTTGTCTCATATCGCTTCCAGACTTTGCGCTTTATGACCTTGGCGCTGACAGTGCAAGGCATTAGGGCCTTTTTTAACGTTAATGACAAATAGACCAAAGACGCCGGCCCTCAAAATGTGGGAACTGTTCCTGCATTAAAGATATATTTTAATATTCCAACGTTGCGATCAAAAGTGACCTTTGCCTACCTGTGCATATGACCGACCCACTTCCGCTTCTTGTTACGTCATAGACTCGTGCTACATGTATGTTGACTAAGACGTACAACTCGGAATCGGAGTCTTTTAAAACTAGAGCAAACCGCTTGAAACCAGTTTTTTCCAGTCGGTCAGACAGTCAGTCTATAAGTGGACTTCGCTCCCACGAACAGATAAACGCTAACCTCCCCACTTCCCTCTCAAAAAATAAATAAATAAATAATGACATTAAATAAACAGACAGCAAAGCTGATAAATGCATGTATGAGGACCCTAACAACAAAAAATATCAATAACTTTGGTAAAAAAAATAATAATCCGAACATGGCGATTTTCAAATGAAGTCTGCATTATTAACACACAAAGTAACTCAAATTTGAAGTTTAAAAAATAGAGGCAAAAATAAATCAATAACTTTTGTAAAAATAATTCGATCAAATCAAATATCGAAAGCATCCGAGCTAAGCATCCAAACAATGTCCACAGTAAAACACAAATGCAGTTTTTGGTAATTATACGGACTAATATTTCGGACGGCGACAGCAACGCCACGGACTGTGATCAGAAGCCTATACACAGACACGTGCAGTTTCTGTATGTAAAATTGGGGCAAAATTAGGCGATATAAAAACAAACCAAATAGCATTTTTAGAAACAGGCAAAACGAAAGGCGGATGAAACATGAAAATAGATTTTAAGTTCATAAAATTTAAAAAGAATCACATTGTCTTGCAGCACTGCTGTCACGAAACGAAGTATCGCATATTCAAAATTAATCAGATCAATAACAGTTTCACATATCTTATTTACGTGTATGAGCACAAACATGTCCTTACTTTGAAGGGAGTATAGCAGGTCCTTTTATCAACAATTCACCATATTTGTGCAAAAGTGTCTCTGCTTTATATAGTCTAAGTTTTTCAATCTGATAGAATATTATACACAAACAAGCGCACACATACATTTAATGAAACTCACCATTTCAAAATATTCTCATCAAAGTCAACAATAACGGTAATAAATGTTTAAAACAATTCCAACAAGGGCTAAATTCAAAGTTATTTACAATTTAGGACTAATAATGTCAGTATTAAACTTAAAGGCTGTTCTTCGACGAAACTACATTTACTAGTTAGTATCATTGTAACTGAAAGTGCAGATTGACATCTTAACTGAAAAATCAAGCTATCCGTGTCTATTTGTTCATTCTGTGTAGTAGAAATATGCCTACCCTCCTTTCCACTTCATTAACGGTGACAGCACAACGCCTGCTTATCAAGGCTGTTTTTTTTTTTTGAAGAAACTACATGTACTGGTTAGTGTCATAGTTACTTAAAGTGCAGAACGACGCTTCTGAAAAATCAAACTATTCTGTGTCTATTTTAGGTTCACTCTGTGTAGTAGAAATATGCCTACTCTCCTTTCCACTTCAATAACGGTGACAGCAGAACGACTGCTTGTCGGGAACCAGTGTTGGAAAATAGCTTGTAACTAATATTTTAAATCTTCATATTTTTAATTCCTTTGTGCAGGGACCACAGAACTGGAAAATAATTTGTATTTAATGTTTTTAAATAGTGTCGTCCTTGAAATGCTGTTTATGTATTGCTTTTGGTTTAAATATGACTTAATTTAAACACTTTATTCAAATAGCAGCTATTTGCATAATTCTGCCAGAAAATCTTCACGCCATATGCGATGCTATGCTAAGTGTAGTACCACACAGTAAACCAACAATTAATGTCTTTACTGCACAAACTGCACAGACTTTATTTTTCTCTTGAAAAATGACAAACGTTCCTATCAAATATTACAGTTTTTATGTGGCAATGATAAACAAGTCCAAGATGGGTAAGTTTCCTTTTTTTTAATTGAAATGTTCTTTACTTCTAAATATCGTCGTCAACGTCGTCATCATCATCGTCCTCGTCGTCATCATCATCGTATAATATGGATCTCATTAGACGTTCACGGAAAGTATCGATTTCCTCGCTGTCGTCATCACCATCTTCGTCGCCCAGTGACCGCTTTGACCTGCTCACCGTGTCCAAAATGTCATCGTCGTCGTCGTCATCATCATCATCATCATCAAAAATGCTCCAATTTTGCAGTAAATCGTTGATGTCGACATCGTCGTCGTCATCGTCGTCTTGGCGTTTCTGGCGGAGATTAGTTTCGGCTTTAGCGGCTTTAATGTCTGCCGGCATCTCCCTGCGCTTTTCTTGGTCGTATTCATGTTCTTCTAAAACATCAAAGAGTCTAGAAAAAGAAAAATCCGCAGTTTTAAATTCCTCATAGTACAAACTTTTCAAAGAGCACATTTCAGGCAGGAGAGATGGGTTGGCAAGCCAAGCATCCACGCGTTGTTTCCACTCCTGTGTGCGGGCATCATTCGAGAACCCTATAGCTTCCCCCAGTGCATTGAAAAATAAATCAAAAAGAGACAGGGGCGCTATGGAGAGGTCTCTTCTGTAGCAGTGATAAGATATAATCCACGCCGCGGCGCCTGTGTGAACTCTCCTTTCTGCAAGATATCCGACCATGGCATCAGAGCTGTCAACCGAACGAGCAATGTCATTGAAGACCATCAACAGGCAGTCTGTCAGATAATTAATTGCTGTACGGTACGAGATCTCGAACTGTCGCCCAGACGTGGCCGGATGTCCAAACAACATGCGTGCGGTCTCGCATATTTTGAGACGACTGAGATTGATTGCAATTAGTAAAATGTACTCAGAGGCAAAAACATTCAACCAATGGTAGCGAACTTCATGCAATGTAGGTTCAGGGCTGATGGTCAACAAATTTTCTGTCGCTTCAAATGGGCTTATAAATTCATTGAGATCTTTAAAGTCAAGGTGTCTGTAAAGTATTTCTAAAACGAATCCCAAATTTTTCAGTGCAGTAACAACCGATTTCGCAAACTGACGGAGTGTTTTCCTGGGAACACGTTCAAACAAGTTGCCATTCGGTAAAAAATAATGCGGCAAATAGCAGCTTACTGCACATTGCAACAAATCATTAAGGAGCATGACGACGTTGCTAGGCATGTTGTTCTGGGTCCACTGTTTAGGAGGTAATTTCTCACTGCGCCAAAAAAGCAAGTTCTTCAAGTGATATGAACTCACGGCAGAGGTGGGGAATTCCCTGCATATGAAATAACGATAAATCAGTTTAAACATGATATACGTCTTTCTCTGCACTGCTGACATGGATTGTGCTAGAAGCCGCTCCTGTGCCGTGAAGGAATATCTCCATTCAAGGCCCTGCCTCCCTCCTGGCCCGGTAGGAACGAGGAAGCAGCCCTTAGACACGCATGTGGTTATTAGTTTTTCACTCGGCCAGCCAAACGGCCGGGTCCGAATTTCCCACTCTCTTGCGGGCCACTCTTCGTGGAAGTAGGCCGGCACGCAATCAAAATCTACGTTCAGATCGGAGTTGGGGGTTTGAAAGTAGACCGCAGCTGACGGGCCTTGGAGCACCTCTGTTTCAACAAATGTCATTCTGTTTTTGAGTCGCTCCTGAACGTTTTGCCTGTGCGAATACTGATGCTTTTGCACAGGTTTTGTCATGGAAACAGTTTCGATGTAACTGGTCCCGGAAGACTCGTGTCCGTCCATTTTGGAAAGTCTTGCATAGTCCTCCGTCTCACGGAGGTGAACATATATTGGGTTTGTCGTTGGTTCTACAGTAAAAATTTGGCACATCTCTGTCTCATCTTTGCTTAAATACAGATTACGATGAACGATCATGGTGTCAATATCTGAAATTATTCCTTCCGGTTCGCCTCCAGGCGGCATATATACGTGCGGAGGAACCCCCAGACCGTCCACGCTGCTGCCAACAGGCCGCTCACACTGCAGAAAAAACTCCCCCTCTTGCTGACAGATGATTCGTCTTAAACTTTCCTGGTTACGTATATAGTCATTTTCCACAATAGGTAACGGCAGCAGGTATTTCATTAGCAAACTGAGCTTCAGTTGATCGGCCATTGCTCTTGTGCTCGACCTAGAGAAAGGACAAGGAATCAGGCTTGAATGAAGTTACAAACAAGACCTAGCTATGGCACGTTAACTAACGTTATGAGCGATCGATGTTAACAAACATGTTTATGCTTACCATTAACACAGTCACGTTACTTTCTAGCTGCCCAACTCGCCACTGTAACAAGTACAATAATCTCTTTTCTAGAACACCGTGCTCACCGTGTATCCGATCCTGAGTTCAAATCAAAACTCACCGAAAGCCTTGGATTTTCCTGATGAGTATATATATCTTGATATCTTTCTGTTCTCGTGGTTTCGCTCACCTGTGCACTGTGTGCTTGCATTTCAAGTTCTTTGTGCGTCAAGAAATAGGTCAAATGATTGATACGATTCCGCGTAAGGGCTTTGATAAGCACATTGCGAACGTGATACTTAATGCCTTTTGACTTATCGATTTGAAAAATTAAATAAGATAATTGGGATGCATTAAGTTTAATCGGGTGCGTGTGAATGCTTGTGGACATTTTTATCTGAACCAGATGTGTCGCCATTATTAATCTCACAGTGTTTAGAAAAATTTTTATTTAGACATTTTAATATCGAATAACATCTGAAAACAATGGACATTCATTAAATAAATGAATTCAGATACATGAATGCATTGAGTTGGCAAACCTACTAAATTGTCTCCTTCCCGAATAAAAAAATGCGTTCAAGGTGATCTTTGTTTATTGGCCTACACAGACCCTATACGTAAGTAATAATTGCTACATAATTAAGGCAATGGACAGAATGAAATTTTCTATTACATATGAAGCAGTGGAAATAATGATTTGTCATAATGGGCAATATATCCCATCATTTCATTCTACATTAAAGAGTACATTAAAGGTGGCCCATCTGGGCTTTTCCCGCCAATCGAAGTTTCCTTTAAAATTTTACTTAAAAAAACATCAAAATCTTGTACTAAGTCGACGATCTGTAATTGAGCAATTATCTTGCCACGGAAAATTGGTAAAACCAGAACCTTGGGTCAACCTCCTTGGAGTTTACTTTGACTCATGACTGACTTTTAACAAACACATCTCAGAATTATGTTCTAAAACAACATGTCAATTAAACACTCTGAGAAGGTTTTCAGCTTATCTACATGTTCCAAGTCGGCTTGTCATATTCAGGCATTTTACATAATTAAACTTCAATTATTGTCTGTTAGTATGGCACTTTTGTGGTGAGGGAAATATGAAAAAATTAGAAAAGATGCAGGAAAGGAGTCTAAGATTTGTCTATGACAACCACACAAGCAGTTATGATGAGTTGTTAAATATGTCAGGTCTTAACACTTTGCACTTGAACAGGCTATGTGTACATGTATGCTTGTACTTAAGGTTAACAAAACTATAAATGGGCTTGTACCTTCCAACATGTACATCTCCGACCTTTTCCAGGAAATAATACCAAATTACAACCTTAGAGGGGAAAAGACTCTAAATATCCCCAGTTTTGACACAATAACACATGGCAAATAATCCTAGTCATATCTTGGGCCAAAAATATGGAATGATCTTTTAGATGAATTAAAGCAAAGCATCAATTCAAATCAATTCAAATGTAGCTTGTGTTACCTATATGCACTTCGTGAAACTGTGTAATAATACAACGTTTTCATTTTTATGCATCTATATTAGTGAGCATTGTATGTAGAATTGTCTGTTTTTCACAATTAACTAGGTCTAGCATTTTGTTTATTTTTCATAGAAAGATTTTTCATTTACTATCTTAGTAGACTTCATGTGTATTTGTATATATTTTGTAGAAAGATTTACCATGTACTATCTTACTAGACCTCGTGTGTAAATATTACATTATTTGTAGAAATATTTGTCCTAACCCAGTCGGTAAATAGCTGCAAAGCTAATGTTTCTTTTCAAATTTATCCCCAACATGAAATAAAAGTTATTGTATTGTAGCGCAACTAGCACATCAAGGATTTCATGCCAACACATCCATCTGCTTAACGGATATTATTGCATCACTGTCGCACTTATTATCTGTTGCTGTGCTGCATGTGGTTCTTTCAATAAACCACAAATGTTATGATGTCATCGTGCTGCATGTGGTTCTTCTCTATCCTCTACGATGACATCATAACATTTGTGGTTTATTGAAATGCCGTATTACACGAAGCATAAATGAAGGACGAGAGAAGATCTAAAATGTCCAAAAATGTCCTACTTATCATCATTTTAACAGTTTGAAAATACAACATGTTTAGCTTAGATTTTAAAGAAGAATACTCTCTGTCCTATCACAAATCTAAATGTTTCGAACAGCATAAATCCTACAGGGGAGAGATTGCAAAGCAAATTTAAATGACAAGACTTTCTTTCGGTCAACTGCGGGCCGAGATGAAAATTTAGATAAATTAATAAGAATTATGAACATGTCAGTGGCAACACTAAAGCAATATTTAAGATCATGCATTGCACTAAAATCTTTTACTCTTAATAATGATCATTAATAAATTGTTTCATTCTTACTGAAAAGAAAATTGAGGACCTGTAATCTGTAAACAGTGTTTCTCTCGTCTTAATCCACGCATTAAAAAGAAAGAAAGAAAGAAAGAAAGAAACAAACAAACAAACAAACAAATTAATAAATAAATAGATTAAACATGCCAGTTACTGCCATAATATTAAGTCATCAAATTAAGAGTGATCAAATAAGGTAATGGCGGAAAGCTCTCCAAAAAAAAAAAAAATCTTTCAGAATTTTGACTCGTACACACAAGTTTTAAAACTATGAAATATGCTTGACATGGATTAAACAGACTGAGAGATTTTACTTGATATTGTTAGAATAAAGTGGTTAAACTCTTTTTGTAGCAAAAATACATTTTCACCTTTTTTTTAACCTTTTTTGACCTTTTAAAATTAAATAAAAGTGTCAGAATTTAGTTGAACACACCATCTTTTCTTTTAAAAATGACATACAGATTTTTGTCTTAATTTCGGTGCAAGTAAGGTCCTATAACGGCGAAACATGGGCGACAAATAATAAAGGGGGCCAAAACAGAGGATTGAGTAAAATGTATGACTCTTAACACAAACGATATGGGCATGGTACAATCACTTGCTGATGACTCTGATCTTCTTCTTGCAACAGTGAAGTGGGCTGCAGTTTTCAAGAGGGTTACAGAAGATGGCATTCAGTCAGTTCGCCCAAACACCTCACACAATAATGATCAGGTTGATGCCATTCACTGTATATTGTTTTGGATGACCAACGTCTTATTGCCCAATAGTTAGCTAAGCTAAGTCCATAGGCAATGGTTCTGGACCCTGTTTTGACTGAGTTCTTGGGAATAAGCTGTCAAGATGAAGCGCGTTAAAATCCATCCTTCTTTCAAAGCAAACTGTTCCAAAGTACATTTTTCTATACTTGCTATAATGCTGTTCATAGAGCAGACATACTTTCGACCCGCCCGATGTTTTCGAACTCAATTAAGACAGTCCTTGCGAGGCTTTTGATTCTTTATAAGAGCTAAGCAGCGTCTTTGCGGCAGGCATTAAAAGTTCCCTTTCGAAGTACGCAGTTCATTTCCCTCGACACTTGCTCCCATGAAAGGGGTATTTATTCTGGTGCATTGATGTTTTGGAATTAGATGTGAAATTCGCCGTCTTCTGATTGCTAGCCTACTATAGTCATGCAATGCGACGGAAACTGTTCGCTGAAATATTTGAGGGAAGACGATAGGATTTCCTCAATAACGCATTCAATAATGTTGCCCATGTTGGCAGTGCGCGAAAGATCATTTCGTTGTACAAATTGGCTCAGTCGAGTCGGTCGGGGGTATGTTACCCTCTGAAAGGGATTTCGTAAGCAGACATATATCTTGTTTCTCGATCCAAATTTTTTTCTTTTGAAATAACTCAACAATTTACAAAACTATTTACACTTGGAATTTGCTTGAGATGGAATGATGATAACAATCAAAATCTCGGCTACTTTTGGCGTGACAAATGCGTTCTTATGTTTCATATTATTGTCCAGTCCCTTGCTTTTAGACTGCCCGTGTAACGAAAACCTTTTTGTTTTTGCTTTTTTATTTCGAGATGTTCTGTTGAATCTGGGTGTTAATTATCACAGGTACCGATCGCACAACTTTGTGTGCTACCTCCTCTTATTCTTCTGCCGTTAGAGAGCAGGTGGGCTTGATTCGTTGTAGATACATCAGCTTAACAATGTGCCTGACAACGGTGATGTATGGATTACAACCGTGACAACGCCGCACACATATACGATGGAGCAGTTAAGGCAAACGTCCAGAGTGATAGTTTATTTGCAAGTAAAAATAATGAATAATAATAATTGACAATAATATTTATATTTATTGATTGTTTTATACATGTATGTAAATCATATCGTATTTTAGATATAAATAAAACAGAGTACATATATTTATTGTTTAAATTTCTGATTATTCTTTGAGAATCTCCGGTTAAATCTTTGCATTGTCAATTCTTCATTAATTGTTGTAATCAGGCAAAAAATCCTATCAGTTACTCTTTTGGGCCGGAGAATTGACACTGGCAATCAGTGACGCCTACACCATGCATCCAGTACTATGTGATCAAGTATTCAAAGGTTGGCATGATTTCACAATAATAAAATCTTTTCATACTTTTTGATATTCAAGGCATACCTTTTGAAAACAGTTACCATTTCTTGTTGTCCGAGTGTTTAGAGAATTGCTGGGTTGTATTTTATGCATTTATATAAAATAACAATTCCCTGCGACTGTTTTAGAATTTGGATTCAAATATGCAAAGCTTGTGGACACAAATATGCACCCCCAAAATGTTGTTCTTTTTATTTTCTTCGGGTATGATTGCACTGCGAACCGAGATGGTGCATCTTATGTCAATTTTTCTACGCCAGTGTTCTCTAGGGTAACATATACACAACCATGCATGCGTATCCTCATATAAAAGTTGCGCAAGAAAATTTTGCCCCTCCTATCCTATCATTTATTGACGTACAAAAATGCCGTCTTGATTAAACAATGCAGAAAACCATAACGACAAAAGAAAAGGAAGTTGACAACTCAGTCGCTCTTGTCATCATCTTTCCTCCCCGGAAAAATCTCTGTGATCGAGACCAGTCGCCTGGTGTTTAATCCTATCTATCTGAGATTAGACGGAAACAAATTCGTGAGCGTCAATTGATTTCTCTAGCGACCCTTTTGTTGATGGAATAAATAATTGCGAATCAATTACTGAAAAGAACAAGCACCGCCTGATCAATTTCAGAAGTAAAATCATCCACAAGATCGGCACAACGTGGTCTTACGTGGGCTTGCAGGCAAATCTTGCGGGAGAAGGCATACACTTTCCTAGAGTGATATTGGTGACTACTGATGAAATGGAAGAAGTTGAATTGAAGAGTAATCACAAAATGGACAGTAAGTGGATACGGTCAAATTTAGTGCGTTGCCGTGCAGTTTTCTTTTAGTTTAGAAAGAGAATTCGATTAAAATGTTATTAACATTCTTTCTGACTGATGTCAAATTTGATTTTACGTAAGTATGACATAACAGAGAAGAAAATCGTTATCATTTTTTGATTTATTATTTTATTGTTATATATATATATTTCATTCATATACCTGAGTGCTATAAAAAATTGGGAACTTCATAATCTGTACTCTTTTTTAAAAAAATCCTTTTTTTTTGTATGACGCAAGATGGAAAACGCGGGAAAATTAAGCGAAATAACAAATCCAAATAAACCAAGGATTAGAATGTGCGAAAGAATAAAATATTAGAAATCTAAGAATTGGTATTTTACCCTTTTTACTATATTTATTTCAAGCATTTTATACGCACTAAATGTTATTAGTAAATTTGCAAGACAAGATGCTTTGATCTTCATGTATTTCAAAGTCAAAAACGCAATCTGAATAATTTGATATCAATGTAAGTTGTAGAAAAAAGACTGGAATGACATCCAAACATTTTCTAAATAAGAAATGGACAACTTCATGTTCGTAGCATTGCCATGGAAAAGCTCGATTTTCAATCCTGACAAAGTTAATGATAAAAAGTCGAAAATCGAAAAACAGAGCCAATGTATACATTTGACATTAAAGATGTGGAATAAACCGTCCTGCCTTTTTCCAACTGATTGTGTTAGAAAGGAATCACAGTGGATAAAAGTCCCTTAAAAGAACTTTTACAAGCATATAAAAGCAAAAAATCAGGAAGAATAGTGTAAGTTGCGTCCTTTCGTAATAAAATTTTATCACGGCTGAACTGTTTCTCATTCCTTCTTAAAGCCAGTAAAAACAAGCAAGAAGAAACAAATCCATAATCCAGAAAGCCGTGATTAGTATTTTTAAAAACAGTTCGAACTCTAATAATGAAATGTCTATCAGTGAGGACATTTCTTAATTAAATACCAGTCTGCCGCGTCCGATGTGATTTCCGATGAAAGCGCAAAGCAATTAGCACGTAATGAACAAGATCAAGAATTAGATCAAATCTGCTGGAGATATTGCTTAAAACCTTTCCAATAACGCTTTCCAGTCACGAGATGGGTTTCCTGCGAAACAATAGCAGTTCACGCTGGGAAAGCCTGGGCATTGTAACTCCGTATATCTAATTGCATAATTGGTAAAAGCAGGATTAGTTTAATTCGACAACAAAAATAATGCGTAGTGTATTAGATATCTGTATATTACGAATCTGCAGTCTTTCAAATACATCATGCTTTGAAATGTTTTAATGTGTGTCTATTTATCCATCCATCCACCCATCTTGCTCTATCTATCTATCTATCTATCTATCTATCTATCTATCTATCTACTACGTCATAAAAAGACCAACAGTCATCGTTTTTCAATAATCAGAAGTGATACAACAAAGAAGAGAGCTTCGACGGATTTTAAATACATGTCTTTATTGTTTTATCTTCGTCTTTTCTCAAACCCTTGTTTGATATTTTGGTTGTAACATATGTTGGATACATCACTTAATTTGAAGATTTAATTAAACATTAAAAAAAAGTATTGTAGAATATTTTATAATAATTATTTCTTTTGAATATAGTTATCTTTATTTCATTACAAATTCTTACGTACAAAAGTTATGGCACTCGAGAAAAATATCATTTTTTCTTTTAATGCAAAAAACGAAGGTAACAGTACAATATACAGAAAAATTAAATACAGTGCTCAGTGCTTCAAAAGAACTTTCTACTGATATAATCGTTAACTATCTGATCTTACTACTACTACTACAAAAATGGTTTTAAATTTTTTAAATTTTAATTATCAAGCCGAAAATTTTGTTGAGGTTTCCGAAAAATAATGCATCGCGTTTGCTTTGGGGTTCGCAGACACGTTGATCTGTAATGTGCTTGAGTTCCCTTAAACCCGCGTCCCGGAAAAACATACCAATCAGCTTAAAGATACGCGTCGATCAAGATTCGAAATGCGTGAAGTTAATCCCTTCTTAACGTCAGGTAGACGAGGGGTGTCCGTCATTATTTCTGACGTGGATTATAGCCGCTGCAATTTCCGACAGTTACGTTTATCCCGCAAAGCTGCCTGTTCCCCGCAACTTGGAAACCAGAAAATTAAACTGCCACTCATTTGTGCTAATGATGATGCATATCCAGATTGAGAAACAAGTGGGAAGGACAAACATAAATGTTGCTATATGTTAGGCTGCTTAGTCTACATGGCCATTTCGTTCTAATATTCGCACAATTAGATTAGCCGAGAAAAAGGTTCTGTGGTCTTCCCAGTAAAGGTATTAGTTTACGAAAGATGAAAGCAGATGGTTTGCTTTGACAGCCGATCGATCACGGATCCCGGTTTAACGACCATTCATTGGAGCTGTCATTGAATTTATAACTGTTTTTATGTTTTATTTATTCTTAACGCGAATTCATCTCTTGAGCTCTGGGGCCATAACTCATTTCTTGATCGCGTTTTAAAACAGGCGAGGTAGTCTTATGGACTTTCTAAATCCGATTACCAATGTCATTGCATGGTGATTTTTCAACGATCATATTAAAGGTAACCTGATTAACGAAAGCTATTGAACTCTAATTGGAATGAGTTGTCGATGCCCATTTCTTGATTGAACTCTCCTAATACATTTGTCGAATCTTTTGTTTTGGAAATAAATAACTTCTTGGCGTATACCTGTTTTATAAACATGTTCACTTTAATGTCGTTCAACTGTTCAAAATAATTGGAGTGTGATTGTAGTTTTTTCATTTATTTGTTGACTTAGGGTAGTGTTTTACCAAAAATTGAGAAATGTTCCCAATAATTAGATGTTAGTGGCAAACATGAAATCAGAAAAGAGAAGTATATCAAGATCAGCAAACGTGTGAAGTTTTAGGTGTTTACAATACTCCGATAAGGAGCAGACAAACTGTCAAGTAAAAAATGATAATCGAAGAAAACAAAGAAAGTAGTTTCTGTGTAAGTGAAAATATTCCCACCGTAGCCATTTCGTTCTAATATTCGCACAATTAGATTAGCCTTTTATTTCCCAGCCTTTTATTTCTTTCCATTTTTAGTTTTTTATAATTATTTATTTATCCATTTATTCATCCATGTATTCATTAACTAATTCATTCATCTATTTATTTATTTATTTATTTATTTATTTATTTATCTATTTATTGTTTGTTTGTTTGTTTGTTTGTTAATTCGTGTCCATATCTTTTTTGGAAGTTTGACTTCAACTCATTTAATGTGCTGTATCGAGACATGGACAAAAATGACGAAATGCACAAAAATACAAGTCAATATTAAGGATACCCTGCATGATTCCCGTTGAGCAGAAATTATTGTTCATTTCATGGTTTTGTAGTGGACGAGACTGTCCTTCCGAACAAAACAGACGACCAACTGTCTGGCAGCAGTACACCCCCTCCAACACTGGTGTCGGCGGTTCCTTCACCCCCCCGGGACTCATCATCTGAGTCACCTGACTCAATTGGACCAATCAAACGGAGTTCTCCAAACTTGAGTTGCGCAGTATGTGGGGACACCTCGAGCGGGAAACACTATGGCATCCTCGCTTGCAATGGCTGCAGCGGGTTTTTTAAAAGAAGCGTCCGCAGAAAGTTGATTTACAGGTACTATATTTTCATAAAAATTCAATTTGCAGTTTCGTTTTTTTTTCAGAATGTTCTTTTATTAATACCCGTTTACAAAGACTCGTATTGTAAGATTTCAAAGAAAAGCTTGATGGGGGGACTATCTGATCGGTAATTTTGGTACAATTAATTGGTACAATTATTGATATGGTATTGCTATAGCCCCTTGTGTTTTGTTCTTTGCTTTTCTTCTTTTTGTAGCTTTTTCTGTTTATTTCAGTCGCTTTAGCGCTATTCTACGTGTATATTAAATTTGCACGCCTCCAGTTTACATCTTACCTCTCTGATTAACTCACAACCCTCTCTAAACTTCACAAAAAATACAGACAGCAGAAAATTTTGTCAACGTCTTAAGAAAAGAAGACTCAGAAGACTTGTTTGATTTAGTGTGTAGCATGATTTTTAAGAGGATTTGTAAATCGTACTGTTTAAACGGGTTACTGCCTCAATATCGACCACATATCAGTGGATTAATAAGGTTGCTTTTTTTCTTGCTGTCAGTCAAAGTTTATAAGGGAAATATTGGTCGAGGTTTTTTATCTTCTGCGTCTACCACATATAAAATGAACAGTCGACTTTTCAGATTACGCTCGGTGTTCCTTGTGTTTTAGCACACCCTCAACGGCGCGTTTGACTTCTCTAAGTAATAAAACGGTTACAGTTCAGGTCAAATAACTTAATTTTGTGCTTGTCTTAATTTTCGTATTTGATTTGTATTCGCATAGCTGCTTTACTAACAGTTGCATGACGCTCAATCTTTAGAAAATGTCTGATTTTTTCAAATAAGAAATTATTTTTAATTTTACCAATTCTACATCACGCTCAGTGTCATGGTTTCGATACACCTTACATTCCCACACATGAAACACATTGACTACATGTCGCATAAATTTGTAATTTTAGCTGCTTTTTGGTAAAATTTACAACATCACTTGCCTCTGCCTTGTAAAATCCATTCATTATAACAAATTGCCGTTTCAATCCACCTTCCTTTGATAGGCTGTAATATTCCATTGTGTGTCATTTAAAGACTTCTGCAATAAGTAACGGTATTTTTCATGTTTTCCCCCTAGGTGTCAGGCCGGCACGGGGGCATGCACAGTTGACAAGGCACACAGAAACCAGTGTCAAGCATGTCGTCTGAAAAAATGTCTTCACAAAGGCATGAACAAAGATGGTAAGTTACGCGTCGCTATTTAATTTTTTAATGTCTCACTAATAGATGATTGACAAAGAGTATCATTTATATCACATAATTGTGCGTTCGAAAGGATTCGCATGTATTTTCTCACGGCAATTAATTTTGGCAGACCCCTTGAGCCGGAAGCAGTTTTGGCTTTTAACAAATATAACATTTTGGACTAAAGTAATACTAAAAAAATGAAGAGCGGAGGGTAAAAAATCAAATAGCTGTCCGCACCCACTAATACACAGCACACACTAACGTGTATAAATGCACACACTAAATAAACGTAATGATGGATTGAATAAAAGATCTAGACGCAAATCTTCTTTTACAATACCCCGAACCCACTTCTGATTGGTTGAGAACAGGATTTCAACAAGAGCGGATTCTAATCTGCATTCTCCGTGCCTATTAAGTTGTGATGCGTCGGTGATGTCTTTATCTAGTCTCGGGGCAGCTGCAACAAGCCATCTCTCCTGACAGATTAAGTTAGAGATACGTTTAATTGAATATCTCGCGATGTTATTGATCTTAAGCAGCACAGGGAAATACAATTTTGACATGGCCTATTGAATTAAGGGAACCGATATTTCATTTTTCTTTTGTACAATTTCCTTTTAATTCCATTGATCGTGGGTGAATCGCGTTCCGATGATCAAGCCGACAGCCCTAGACATGCATAATTCACGGGGAAAAATACTTATTTGTCAGTGATTAGTATTTATTACTTTTGCTTTTATTCTTTACTTCTATACAAACACTGGTGTCATACTTGACGCATATATGATATTAGTCTTTATTTCAAGTCTAGGGAGATTGACTTACTTTTGTGTTGACCGACAACCCAAGGGACATAAGATTGACAGGATCAGCCACTGCAATGAGTAGCTTGCATCAAGTTTCATTTCTTCAAAATGTCATTTTCGATTCAATTGCCACCTGGTTTTGGATACAAAGCAGTTAATTCGCATCTTATAAGTCCATTTGTTGCACAACTGTACAGGGAAGTAACTGTCCATCAAATCAAACGCAGAAGTACAAATTTTATACTTAAAAAGAAAAAAAAAAGATAAAAATCTTTTGAAACTTAGGTAGAAAGTGACCGCTCAATATAAAAGTTGAAATAAGAGCTGTCGCGTGAAAAACTAAATGCTATTTTTTTTTTTTTTTTGACAACATGATTTTGATTCTGAAATAAACATCTTCCCTGATATATCTTCTGAACATTTTCGAAGTATGCTAATGCAAATATAACGAGACTTAGTATTTTACCAACTAGTACGACCAAGCACAGTGCAAACAAGGTCAACAGACATTTTTTAATCTTTTTGTTTTTTAACATGTTTAATTTTTTCCTCCTTTCTTTCTTTCTTTCTTTTTTTTTTTTTTTACTTTTTTCTTATTTTGCTTTTTTTGCTGGGAAATGTCAAATCCACAGTGTGGGCGATTTTTGACCATGAAAACAACATCATAAAGGCGCTTCCTGTGTGAATTGTCAATTCTCCCACTTACATTTTCCCGCACCCATTGCCTAATGCATTTTTCCACGTGGAAAAAGTAAAAAAAATGATTTCCTCACAATATTGGTCGGTCACAATCGTCAAACAACTTATCAATATTCTTGAACGATAAAAATAACAAAAATGGTTTTTATCTCCGTAGCACCTACATGTATACTTGTACATACACACTAAAAATAACCTTATCGTAATGATTACCCTCTCTTCAATTACATTTTCAATGGAAGATATTCAACATTTATATTTTGGTAAAATATTCAAGCAATGAAATATCTATTTGTTTTAGCGGTTCAAAACGAGCGTCAGCCGCGCAGCACAGCACAGGTCCGCCAAGAAATGCTGGACTCCGAGCTGGTGCAGTCTCTCACGCCAGGTGTCTCTGCTGTGTCCGCCACCCACCCAACGTTTTACGGGAGTCACCTAAGAGCAACAGAGGCCTCGTATTTTCCTGGACTTGTTGCCGTGGAAGACGGCCATACAAAAGGAAAGACCGAAAAGGACAAACGTATGTACAGTACCTTTCGCTTAATTTTGCAACACGTGCAGCCGTGTGAGGCATATGCCTATAATAAAGTTATGCCACTACGTCGATACATCTAATCAGTTGTGAACTCATTGAAATCGTATGTCATTAAAACAAAGCATTAGCGGTATTTAAATATACTTATGTAATCTTTTTTCCATTACAACGAATAGGGTATGGAACAAAAAATATGAAAATGTTCGATAATTTCTGTTATCAAAATTTTGTGTTTGCTTTTGTACTGTCAAGCTGTTACAATAACCAAAACTCATAATCTCTTTAGACATTGAATCAGATTCAAGAAAACCAGAAAAACGCGACCCAAAAGACAGTGAACGCCAAGAGTCCGATGATAGCCGTAGATACCCGAGTAGTCCGCTGCCGTCGGAGTCGGAGACCATGTACGAGCACGCTGCGCGCCTACTTTTCATGGCTGTCAAGTGGTCAAAAAGCCTGCCATCTTTCGCAAATTTACCTTTCCGCGATCAGGTAGTTTTTGATGCTTTTTGGTGTCATTTTTTCATCGTCGAATATATAAACAAATCACTTTTGTTGGCATTTTTGTTGTGATAACTTTCATCAAACATATTTATGCGAGACTTGTTTTATCACATTTTAATATAAGCCATTTGATACATGATAATTAGTTGAGGCAAGCACAATGTATTGATCAATGTGCGAAAAGTTTTTTGATACGCTTGTTTGCTTTGTTTCTTTGTCAATTGTTTTAACGTTAAGCAAGAAAATTAGCGCAAAATCTTACGGGTTACACTTACAGTAGGTAGGCCTACCATAATCATCCATGGTATTAAATTTTATTTTACCACTTCTTCTGATTCGACACATTTCATTATCATTTGCAACTGTTTTGATAGAGTACTTGTATTTCAGGTCATTCTGCTGGAGGAGACCTGGGGAGAGCTTTTTCTGTTGTGTGCTATACAGTGGTCCATGCCTCTCGAGTCGTCGCCCCTACTCTCCGCGACTGAGCATGCGCAGACTGCCCATGGCCGGTGTAACGTCACCGCCCTGGCTGATATACGGACCCTGCAAGAAATTGTGGCAAGATTCAAGGCAGTGCAAGTAGACCCGGCTGAGTTTGCTTGCCTGAAAGCGATCATTTTGTTTCGGCCAGGTATATTAATCATATTTTCAAATTTTCCCCTACAGCCGAGTATTTGTAAAATACATGTAGACCAACATATTTTACTTACGTTTATAAATAACTAAGGGGGAGAAAAAGAGACTATCCAATAAAATTATGAATATAAAACCATTAGGTCATTTTCAAACAAGTGCTCAGGTGGCAATAATCCCAAATAAGTTCCGATTCGATTTCGACATCTCTGCATATAAATTGACAAAATAACTAAATATAGCAAACAGTAATCATTACTAGTTATTATATTTACCGACTTTAAATGTGATAAAATCCACCTGTGCGTCGGTATTTCAGAAACCAAGGGTCTCAAGGATCCTCAGCAGGTAGAAAGTCTTCAGGATCAGGCACAAGGGATGTTAGGGCAACACACACGTGTTCACCGCCCCACGCAGCCAGTCAGGTAGAATCTATTATTATTATTGTTGTTGTTTTTATTACTATAGTTTTTACCTTCATACGCACACACACGAGTACAAACAGACCCACACACACGCAATCTGTATATCGTTTTTTGTAGTATTGTCACATTTGAATGAGTATTGCCGCTTTATTAATTGGCCAAGAATTCTGTGGTAAATAGATATTGAAACCGCCGTCAAATGCAAATAACGTAGTTCCGCAAATTTGTCCTGTTGCGGTTTCACTTCATTGTGGAGACTTGCGATTCTGTTAAAAAACCATAATGATTTGGAGTGTTGTGTAGAATTTTCAGGATTTCTTTGATTACATTTTTTTCTAAAAAATATTGTTTCAGATTCGGCCGCCTACTGCTGATGCTGCCGTTACTACGTCTTGTCACCTCGAGTCGAATAGAAACCATTTTCTTCAGTCACACCATTGGCAACACACCGATGGAGAAACTGCTTTGTGACATGTATAAAAGTTAAAACTTTGCTCGGACGTTTTTTTTTTTTTTTTTTTTTTGTTAACCATTAATAACACTGAATGGCGATTCTCGCGTTGTTTCACATTGAGGGATATTTCATGTTCTTGAGTAGTAAATTGGCTGGTGAAAACCAAAATTTCTATTTTGCTAGGGTTATATGTTGACACGCTTCAAGGGAAGAAAAGTGAGATGATTTCTTCTTTGATAATTCGGTCTATGGGAGCTAAATGACCGAGACTATACAGAAGTTGTTAAAATATATCTTATTCTATATCTAACGTTTGTAAACCTTTTATTCAGAATTTTCTCTCAAAGCATAAAACTTTTTGCGCAACTTCATTACCAGTATGCCTAATATATTCAAAGTTCGAAATATTTTTCTGTGGTTATAATCCTTCATGCATAATTTGTATCCCAATAGAGCGATGCAGTTTAGTTAAGCAATATACATGAAAACAACAGGTGCGGTACAAAAGCCGTTACTTCCCGAATCCAAATTAAGTGCATTTTACAAACTACAACATTACAATATAGAGAGCATTTTTCCAAAACTGTAGTGGAGTTGAAACACATCTCACAACAGTACTGTAGTAATTGCTTCAGCAAATCATACGCAATACTCTTGTCATCATTTATTCTCTTCAAAGTTTTTTTTCGGATTCATTTTTTGAGTCAAGGAATAAATCAGGTGGAAATACTTCTCCAATCTGCATAAATATATGCCACAGTCAAGCATTCTTAGAGCAACCAGCTTTGAAGAAAAAAAAAATAAATCCAAGAATAAAAAGAAATCCAATCACTTGCTCAGGCATGCAGTTAATACTCAATTCCTTTCAACAATATAATAATAACTCCTTGAAAGAATACAAACATAATTAACTTCTTCTTAAAGTTAATAACATTCCTTTTTTTCAATTTCTCCTTTTGAGCAATACGACTCCTGCAATAAACAGAGAAAGGTCTCCACGGCAAAACTGGACTGAATATAAGTTGTGGCAAGGATGAACTTCAAGCATGATAATAAATATAATGACATTTTCACATAGAGTTCTAAGAATTTATGGTGTATGATGTCCACGGCTACACTAGACTTATTGTTCTCAGAGCCCTATTCATTTCAAGTTACTTCCGATTTATTTTGATGAAATTCATTTAAAAATAAAACACATTTTACTATACAAAACATCCTTTCTATATAAAATTTCATCTTTTTCTCATCCATATACATTTTGACAGTACCTGTTAATATGTTAAATACCCACCTGCAAACCTAACTCTTTCATTATATATATATATATATATATATATATATATATATATATATATATATATATATATATATATAATCCTTTTTGAACATTATTTCCTTTCCTACAAAAATTAATATACAACCCATTTATATAAATCAAAGCACAGGTATAACAATAAAGACTAAAAAATATAGAACACAACTTCCTTTTTAATAATTCTGTGATGTATATTATGAATCTGTTAAACATATCTTATTTTTTTAAAATGTTGATTGAGACTGCTTTGAAAACTTGACAAAAAGCTCAATGAAACTGTTGAATGACTAGTGATCATATTTAGTTGATCAGACTAGTGCATCACAACAATTAGCAACCTAGCCTTTAGACCGATTCCCTCTTTTCAGTCTGTCTACTTTCTCATGCTATCTATCAGTTTGTGACCTGGCACAGTGGCTTTTTAATACTGGCACATTTTCAATATATATATATATATATATATATATATATATATATATATATATATATATATATATATATATATATATAAACACCATGGTAATTACTCAATCTTTTCAATGGGCAAAATTTATCAATCTTTGGGACACATAATTTTAGAATTATAAAAATTATATTTCTATATAGCCATTGTGGTTCTTTATCTGCACAGAATTGAACTATGACTATGATGTAAGCCCATTTTTCAATTTTGTTCCTACCACTCTATAAGAATTTTCTAATTTTCTAATTTCTAAATTAACACTTAAGAAATAAGGTTTCTGTAAAATTCACTGTTTTCCCCACTGAAAAGATTGAATCATTTCCAAATATCATATTTCACATTTTGACAAAAAGAATAAATAAATAAAAGAATAATATTGAAGACATTTAAGGTAAACTAATGAATCAAATGAATAATTGGAATAATAAATTAATGAGACATGATGCAACAAGAGATAATGGCAGAGCTATTTTTTATAAACTAATTACCAGAGGAAGGTATGCTAAGGATATAATACCAGTTAATTTTAAGTACTTTGAACTTTATTAAAACTACTATAATAATTGTTCTGTATCATGACATGTTAAAATGAAAATTTCATTCAAACCCATTTTAAAAAATAAAAAATATAATTATTGTTAAAAATTAATAAGTATAATCCCTGCATGCTTAAAAACCACTATTTATAATATTAAAAACTGATATGAATACTAAACATGTAAGAAAAATAACATTAAGAAATGGAATGTCTAGAAGCAATAAAAATGTCCAAGTAACTACATTAAAAGGGACATACCAATACAATAATGATTGGAAAACTAAGATGACCCTAATATATCCCCTACAAACTCTTTATCACGAAATTGAATTTTGTAGAAAACCAAAAATTTAATTGATTTGCTCATGATAACTGATTCTTTTAAAATACTGATCAACACTATAAGTTATTAAGTTTATAAAAGAGCCCTGAGTTTTAATAAAGAGACACTTTAAGTTATTCCTCATACATTTTCCTCTGCTTCAAATTTCCTTAATCTTAAGGACAATACAATGAATGCAACTCCTCATGCTTGCTTTGGATTCAAGAGGTCACTATCTCTACTTGTTCATATTCCTGTCTGGCAAATGCTACAAAAACCTGAAATATGAAATTTATAATCTGTCAACGAATTTTCTCCTTTAAATTTTGATTTGTATGATACTCCTTGTTAAGGATGAGAGATAAATGTCAGGATAAGAATGTACTGAAAAAAAAAACTTGTAGAAAATGTCTTGGTTCTGGTGTTAATATTGTTTGAATATTTTCAGATGGCTAGGTAATTCATTTAAAAGTGCATCCAAAGGGGGTGAAAAATGAATAGAACAAGAAAGATGGAACAAAAATAGAAAAGTAAAACTGTAACAGAAAGAGAGCAGCAATTGTACTCATACCTGCTCCAGAGTGGATTGACTGAAGCTGTATTCTTCCACATCGTTGACTTCTTTGGCTGAAAAGAATTAGAAAAAACCATCACTAACAATATAACGAGAAAATTATTTTCAGTGTAACTCAAAGACTCCCATTATTATTATTTGTTATGTCTCAAAATAGCAGCTATGGGTAGGTCATCTGATATCTCTCAATGTTTTGATCAGAAGGGTAATGGTCTACCTTCCCATTTATCAATTCTACCTATGCCTTCTCTTTATATGTATTAGTAAGCATACAATTTAACCTGTTTGAAAAAAAGAAAGAAAAAAATGTAAAAACTCAGCTTACTTTATGCAACCAGTGTACAAAACTACAGTGTTCTCCAAAGTCTCACCTCTCTCCAGTGAAGTAAACACCTCAGCCAGTGACTTCACATCTTCCTGGGGGATCTTAAACTGAGCACGGTCTCCAAACAGCTCCAGTTCTTCAATGTCTGGAAACACCATCTTCAGCTCATGTTTCAGGACAGCCCACTTCTGCTCCTGCTCTCCTGTGGTCAGCCCCTCTGCTCTCAACTTGATCTCTAGGACATAGCCCTGGCCAAACTTCAGCTTAAGGTGCTGGCTGGCTCCCATGCACCTGCAAGCATATACCTCAGACCGTGAAATTGCATGAATTTAAGGGATAACAACTGTTCATGAACTAAGTGGATAACAACTGATCATGAATTACAGGGATAACAACTGGTCATGAATTAAACTGATCATTTTGACCCAAAAATTGGATTTTCCTGGAGTAAACATCAATTTTCCCAGAGTTGTTATCCCCTCAATATACTGTCTAAATAACTCGAAATCCCTTTTTTACAACTGTATATTAAACACTGCAATATTAAGAAGTGTCATAATTTCATTAAAAATTTAAGTATTAATATTATATTCATATATCTTAGGACCAATGGTTTTGAAGTCTATTTGTGGTAAGATATGCAGAAATGATTCTATAGTAATTTCATCCTTTTCACCTCAGTCTACAAGAATATGAATACAGAAAACCTCTTTTCTGCATAAAAGGAAAACAGTGCAAGCAATGAACGTTTTCTGCTTAAGACAAATAGAGAAATCATTGAACTATTTCTAATCGGCCAGGCAGACCTACTTGAATTCTCCTCCCACCATGATACCAATGCGTGTGCACAGGGCGTCTGCCTCCTCCATGGCATGGGTGGTCAGAATGGCGCCCCTCTCTCCACTGCCATTGAACATATCTGTGATGGTATCCCTACAAATCCCGATTTACAGTTTTAAGTGTAGATGTTTGCTTGACTTAGGCCTTTGTTGTCTAGTATTGCATAAACTGTTGTTTTATGTGGACATAGATAATAAACCATGGTTTCTAACAATGAAAAGCATAGTGCAGCTGTCAAAATCCCATTTTTAAATTATTCACTTCATTTTTCTGAAAATGAGTGAATTGTTTAAACTTCAATATTGTAGCCTTTTATATAAAAAAAGCTTTAAATAAACTTATTCAATGAAAAACAGTTAACCAGTTACTGAGACTGTTCACTGAAAAATATCAGGCCTGCTGCAAATTCACAGCAAATTTGCCACAAAGTGCAATTCCTTCTTGCAAATTTGCAACAAATTTGCTACAATATGGCTGATAATTAGCAGCAACAATTTTTTTTCTCATTAATTCCTGCAAAATCCTTGCTGCAATATTGCTGCAAACTGTTCATTTTGCTAAGGGCTGTGCTATATGGGAAACACTCTTACCATAGAAACCTCTTGGAGGCAGGGTCCAGCCCAGTGGAAGGCTCATCCATCAGAACAATCTTT